CTCGCGTTCGAGAAAATTTAATATTGAATATGCAAACAAGTACAGAAAGTAAATAAATCACTAGGACTTGCATTAGCAGCATTGTATCGAGAAAATATCATGGAAAAATGTGAAAAAAAATTTACGAGGGCAAAGAGCACTAGCTGCAAGTAATTGCTCGGAGGCGCATGCAATCGAGCATAAAGGATTCTGTTTTTATCACAAACAATCTATTTTCTTTCGAATAATGCAATAAATAGGCCGTATTGTTGATAGCAGTTTTTGTACGTAATAATTTTTGCGTTTCGAGCACATGCTGAAATTTTATCAACTGACATCGTTGATATTTCAGTGTGCACGTTTGTCACGAAATTCGTGATGTACGTATACTTATAAAAGTGAAGCACTTGGACTATTCGCGGAAATTTAAGATACAGTAGCTGTACCTCAAAATTCCAAGTGTTTCGGCAAATTATAAACGTTAAAGTCGACTCTATGTGTTTTGTAAAATGATGCATTAAATTCTGATAATCTTAGAACGGCACCAAATTTGGATAAAGATATGCCGATTAAAATACCAAGAAAATCTCTAGTAAAGCTGAGCTTTCTTCCTTCAAGCATCAATTTTATATTTTGCAGGATTTAATCAAATCTGTCAGCATAATCGGAGTGCTCGGCCGACGTCGCTGCTGCTGTTCCTGTCACGTACCTATACGCTTCACTATCTTGTGAAAGATATAAAATTCGAGGCAATTAATTAAACTTGATCGGCTCTCGATTTACATCTCGAAGCTAAAAGATATCTTTACTTACTACTTATTCGCGTAACTCGCTGGCGTGCGCGAGAGCAGTGATTGGACGTCCTTTGGGTGACCTATTAATCAATTTCTCCGATGATCATTTTCGTTGATTACAACCTCGACTGGTGCTGCATCAAGTACTTATAATTCGTGAACGTGACCCATTGTTGCGCATGAAACAAAATGAACTTCAGACAGGAGCCCAGCAGTGCAGAGGCTGCGGCTCAGAGACCGCATCGATAATTATAATTAATTTGAATATCGTGCGAGTGCGAGTTTACGTAAAATTGGTACTTGTGATTTATTCGAATGTACACTTACTCGTGCAAGGTAACACACCTGCGCAAATCCCTGTATCAATGTTTACAACCCCAAAGTATCGACTTTATGCGGAGATAATACAGAGGGAAATACATTTTTGTCGCTTTGAATTATGTTACTTGCATAATTTTCTCCTACCATAACACTTTGTTATCGCCGAAAAAGCTTGAGCTCAGGATCTTTGTATGCAAAAAAAGTGAAAAAAGGCAGCAGCAGCGAGAGAGAATAGCCGCACTCGCCGACGCCACAGGCCGCGTTGTGTGTAAACATGGAAATAACTCACGCTAACCGCGCGGCATCGCGAACGCATAAAACACCGAGGAAAAACGACGGCATCGGCAGCGCGTGTCTACGATATACGTGTGCTCGTGTATGTAAAATTCATCGACGGATATCCAGCTCACGACTGCGGAAACTTTTGCCTCGGCTCGAGCGCGCGAAAACTGCCGTATCTCGTGTGCGGCAGCTATACGCATACGAGCGCATATTAATCGAGTATTCGGTGAAATGCGCGCTCCACATGTACATGTATCACTACATGTTTCTCGTATACTTTAGAGGTACGCTCGTCACGACACGCGCGACGCAGTCGCGATAACCCAAAATAACGTATTACTCACAATAACGATACGTTACGACGCCTGCGATGCGTGGGGGTGTGTGTGTGACTGACGGGGCCACGTAATTCAGTCGGCCAAGCGTCAAAATCAGTTAGCCGACATTCAATCGGGAAAAGTGCCCGTCCGCAGTTGTGGCCGGACCACATTAGTTTGCCTCGCATCTTGGCCACGCGAAACCCAGATGAATTTGACCATTCGCAACTCCGAGCCTTTCTGCGCTTACGTCGCTGTTGCAGCACTTCCCCCACAAGTGTCGCGCATGATTCTCAATTTGTTTTCCGACTATACGAGCAGAAAATAGTGCCAATGCTTTTCCAGCTCATATATACGCGTGCGATGCTAGCTTCCGGTCAAAACTTTACAACTGCGCATGTACAGCGCACATTCATACAAGCACACACTGAAATGTGAGCCCGCAGCAGCAGCAGCTAGCGAATAGTTGGTATAATCAAACTTTGCTAGCTGAGCTGCATCTAGTGCGCTGATGGATAGATCCTTATTGCTCAAGTAATACATGTATATAGTACTTTGTATGTACCTGAGCTTAGCTCTCGTACATCATGATTAAGTTAATTTGCTGTACGCGGAGCAAATTTTAAAGGCAGGATCATATCAACTTGGCGCGTGGGTATGTACGAACGCACTAATATGTAAGCGGTAATAGTATCATTCCTGCTGTTTGTATGCAGCCTGTATATAGTAGACTATTTATATCGACGCAGCGAATTCGTAGGCTTTCTTGAAAAAATGAACAACTAATTATACGGTAATTTTGCATGTTCTTATTAAAATTTGACTACAAATGTAACTACGAATAACTTTGAGGATGAGACAAACCCTAAAGATTAATCCGCTTAATTTTAAAGAATTGTCAAGTAAAAGGAACATTCTTCAAAAAAATATATGTCTACAGGTCAGAACAAGTTAGCGTATTCAAATTAATTTTAACTACTTGGGGTTAGTTTGAAAGCATAACAAATCATTAATTACATTGTCAACGAAAAAATATCTAATGTAGTAAGAATGAATTTTACGTTGAATAACTCGGCAAGATTTTTCTGAACTTTGTTTTTCACGGAACAAATGCTGAAAGCAGGGAATTTTCTAGCAAACGTTTTTCCCTCGCCGCATAACCTAAGGGACACTTTATTGTGTCACTCAGCGATGCGACGGCATACTTGAACTATTTCGCAATTTAGCTTGACAACAGACAAACATAGACACGAGCTCGAGCGTGGGCTTGCATTTCTCGCGCGGGAACTTCTTAGCTGTCAAAGAAGCGAGCTTTCATCGTTGGCTGTTATATGCGGCTCGCGCGCATACCATCGCCAGGGGGGACATTAGAACGAGTCACACGCATCGCGCGAGTCCTGACGCCTATGCATACACTTGTGCCCGCACATACGACCGAGGACGGTCACTCACGCATGCAAATGAATCCGATGAATAATTCAGCAGAAATGTATACATACACAAGGCTCGAGAAAGAGGAGGAATAAAAATATATATCAGGCGTGAGGCGCGCGGGTGGCCGGGCGGCGACTAAAAACGCGAGCTCGCTTTGAGAGCCGTTCACATGCATACATCCAACAATTGGATCCAATTGAATTTCTAGCTTTTCGGCTGGTGCGCAAGTGCCGGGCGTGGGAAAAAACACATGCATATATATTCGCATCCGTACCACGAGTACTCTACACGGCTGTATGGGCTACTTTCCGCGCTTTCGTATTGCTAGGAATACTCTTTGCGATGGAATTTAAATAAATTTTTTCCTTTACGCTTTTTACAGAAAAAAGAATTTGCTCTAGTCGTGAATGCTTAAACAGAAGCTGCGAAAATTAATCTATTTTATCGTCGCTCTTGAATTTCCCGCTTTATTCTTGATGGAAAAATAATCTAAATTTCGACGCGCCATAACTATAGATATACAGCGTTATAAATTCATGCGACTGTGCAAAACATGCGGGAGATTTGTCAAACACAGCCGAAGGCAGTTTGATGACTTCGTTCTATTCGCCTCTCTCTCTTTCCTTCGTGCGCTGCGTGCACTGCGCACGAGAGCACATAATAACACGATAATTAAATTCTCGTTGTGTTTATACTAGAACGGCAATGGAGCTCTCGACGAGAGGAGAATAATTTGTCCATGCCGGGGATATAATACGTATATGCACTACGGTGTGTATACATTGATATATACGTTATACACAGACGCACAGATCTAAGGCGATGACGATGGCATTCCGGAAACTTGTTTCGAGTTTGAGCTCGGCTCAGTATTGCACGCGCAGTTCGTATGCAGTTCTGACTCTATACTCTCTCTCACTCCGTTGTTCTCATCATAGATTGCATTTGCTCTTGAGCTTTGCTGCTTTGTGCGTGCGAATATTGTGAAATGTGTGAGCGGCATCAACGCAGAAGAATAATCAATTTTTCGTTTTCGCGATGAAACGAGACTCGAAGGTAAGCGATATCAATGACAAAACGGCAAAATTGTAATTCGTACTTTATGTAAGCTCACGTAGTCACGAGAGAGAAACATTGAAATTGTATGCTTCTGCAATCAGCTTGGATATTAATTTTAGTTTTTCATTTGCTTCAAACCGTTCTTACGCGCATCCTATATATATAAATTAAATCCAAGTGAGTGCTATAGGTGATTGTCGCTTTGATGATGATGAAAAGTACACAAGCGCGAATAGACTTGAACGAGCACAGGCAAAAAAAAGGTAAAAACAAAACGAGCGCGGTGAGAAAATTATCAAATTTGATAAAAGCTCGCGAGTAAACATTAATGTTTTACGATAGATCGTAAAATACAGCGACCGAGCTAACCGTTCTTGCAAACGTCGACAATATTACCAAGTAGTCATATAAAGTATAGCGTGTCACATGCGGCTAAAATTGTCAATTTCCGACGTGAACTGCATAAACTTCCAGTGAGACCCGAGGAAAGAAAAAAACCTTGGATTCACGCGCACTTCGATCGTAAAATCCTATGATGTCTTGAAAGGCTCAATAGAAAAAAATGAAATTGCTTCGCGCAGGGGGAGAGAAGGGAGAGAGAGAGAGAGAGAGCGAAAACGAGAGCGAGAGAAAGGTAGTTCGGTTGACGGAAAATCCCAAAAAATAAAGTATCAGTTTGAGCGTGAAGACCGGTGCTACGTGTCAAGAGTCTAAGGCATATCGTAAATGGCGCATGTGCAGAATGATGATAAGATCGTTGCATAGTATGTGCTGTAGCTCATAATTATACTTTTTTATTTTAATATATTTTTTTTTTTACGTAACCTAATCATGCCATTAAAACACAAATCCACAGATTTAAATGAAAAAAGAATTACTTTTAAAAAAAATTTCAGCTCAATTTATTACGCAGTTATCGACTGTAAAAAAATTATTGAAAATCCCTCAGTAATATCTTCCAGCTCGAATGTAAATTATGCCACCTAAATGTATCTCCAATGAGCTTTTACTTTGTCTGCGATAGCCTCCGCGACTGCCATCGTCGGAACATTCAGATGCGCTGTAGGCACTACGGGCATAATTGAAGCGTCGGCCACCCTCAAATTCTGTATTCCTTTGACCTGCACGCAGTCGAAAAAATAACGAAAACATAGTCAATTTGCTTTGATACGCATTAAATTGAGAAAAACTCACCAGTCCTCGAGAATCTACTACGGCCTCGTCGTCATCGTCTCTTCCCATTCTACAGGTACCACTGAAGTGCCATAGCGTAATCGTGTAAGTTCGCAGGGCGCACTCCCAATACTTGTCCGAGTCGTATTGATGCCTCTCGCAACCCGGGACTATCTTGTCGTATAATTTCGTACCGTACTTTTGCATAGCTTGGGTCTTGCTAACTTCGATCGCCACTCTGATACCTTTGACCGAAACTCGGACGTCGTCGGGATCAGTCAGATAGTTCGTTATGATTTTAGGGGTATCCTTTGGATCAGTGCTTCTCAACAATATTTCCCCTCGACTCTTGGGCTTCATCAACATGGGCCATATGAGCCAACCGGGCTCGTACGTGTTCGGCTTGAAATACCTGACCCAGTGCTTCTCCTGGAATTTGAAGGGTATGTGCAGCAGAGGGTGGGTTGCCACGTGGACACCACCGAACATGAACTCGATGTTGGGGCGTTCGTTGTCGGCGTTCAAATCGTCGGTATTGATATAACCCAGGCCTTCGATGCCGGACAACACCGTACCCGGTCCAGTTCTGTTCTCAAAGTATTCGGGAAAAGCTTCGTCTCTCGTTACTTGCAGAGCACTGCGAATGTCCAAACTGACCGTATCGTTTACCAAAAATGTCAGTCCACCGTAAGCTATGTGATCCATCAAATTTTTGCCCACCCGAGCGTCCTTCAACACCGGTATTCTATGGCTTTTCAAATGCTCAGCTGGTCCAATACCAGACAGCATCAAGAGTTTCGGGGTGCCTATTGCACCGGCGCAGAGAATCACCTCCTTTCTGGCGATCACCTTGAGCGTCGTGGTTGGCGTGCCCAAATCGTGCTTCGTCAACTCGACTCCGTAAGCCCGCTTGGTCGATGGATCGATCAGAATCTTGTTCACGTGACTATGCATACTTAGCTTCAGATTCGGCCGGGCTCGCGCCGAATGCAAATAGGCCCGATTGGAGCTCAGTCGCTCGCCGTTGACTTGGTTGGTTTGCACGTAGGAGAAACCCGTTTGCTTGCGGCCGTTATAATCGAGCGGTGGAAAGCCCATCTCGTGTCCGGCTTCGACAAAAGCGTCGACGAGTGGCGTGCGATGCTGCACGTTGCAAATGTTTACCGGGCCGTCAAAGTTGTGTAGCTGATCTTCATATTCCGTCAAATTCACTTCGAATTTCTCTAATTTCTTAAAGTACTTTAACATATTGTCGTAGGCCCAGCTGTCGTCTCCAGTTATTTCTGCCCACTCATCGTAATCATATCTGTTACCTAAATTTTAAATTAATAATAGTAATAATTTTAATTTTCTTGTCAAAGGATCTTCTAAAAATTAAAAAATCACCCCTGGTAGCGATCATCCAGTTGACCGAGCTCGAGCCACCCATAACTTGACCCACAGGCATTCTACACTGTCGATTTTTAAATCCCAAGCAGTAAGTGCGCGACGGTTCGCTATAATAATTCCAATGCCAAAATGGATTGTACATGAGAAATATGGCCAAAGCTGGAATATCCATGACGAGCTGCTCGTGGCCACCGCGCTCGATTAGCAAGACGCTGGCGTTCTGTTCTTCGCTGAGCCTGGCTGCTATGACGGCGCCCGAAGCTCCCGCACCAACGACCACGAAGTCGTACTCCTCCTGATCCTCGGGGGTTGAATCGACGACCTCTTGCTTGGCGTCCTCGATGAAGTCCTCCGTGAACATTTCCGCGCTCTCGATCAAACGAATGAAATTTGGTGCATCTTTTTTGAGATCGCCGAGTACGAGATTTGTCGATAACAGCACGGAGCTGAGAAAAAGGAAGCAGTACCTCGCCATAGCGGAGATGCTGCGCGACTGCTTTACAGAGATAAGATGTAGCCAAGGCTATTTAAGTGTGCCTCCGCATGAAATATTCCCAAACGCGTGCTTGAGCATTTAACGCGAGGATGATTATTGATCAAATTATCGTTTAGGCACGTACACGAGACAACGCTTATTGTTATTCAGACATCTACTTGTGCTTTGTGTCTGCTTGAATATATAATTGAAGATAAAAATAATCACTTTGAAAAGAGTTCTTTTATTAAGAAACTTCGTCGAAATGAAGTTTTCATTCGAGTTCGTCAATTAATTCGCAACACGTGAAAATCATGAGTTCTAAAACAGGTGTTCCATTCATATTTTCCTAATTAAAATCAGTGTTGAAACTTTCTCTCGCCTTGATAAAACTTACATATTTCGACGAGTAGCTTCTTGCGTGACTACTTTGTTTCACAAAAGTAGTTTGACGTTCGACTTCGTTTCCTCCAGGACGCGATGCTTAAATTGAGAAATTTACCAAGGCACACACCCGACCTAGATTGTGAAAAATCAAGGCAACACTTGTTGAATTATTTTTTATATGTGTTCTTTGCTCTTGAGGCGTGAGCTCCTGGATAAGACGAAGTTTCGTCACGATCGATAAAGCAATTAAATGTTTTGATAGAATGAAGTTGTTTCTTCCATTTCACAGATCTTTTCTCCGAGTTTTTTCATAGACTTTTGTGTGGTTCATAAACTTCAGAACTTTGAATGGTATATAATAGCTTCAACCATTTTTTTTAATTTCAAACTTTTAAAATGTAATAATAGACAGAGCAAATGTCATTTGAAAGTTTATTTTCGAAACGTTACATTTTAACTTTTTATGAACGTTGAAAATTCTCTCATATTTTTTTACTCATCTAATTATAATGCTATTTTTTCGAAAAATATTTTCAAAATCAACTGCAATTAATACAAACATATTTTATTTTATGAACACTTAAATTTTAATTATTATATTTGATTATATTTTTGTTTGCAGGATTTTTTATTCGGTTACTACTCCACACTATATTTTTGTAAGTACTAAATTTAGAATTACCATACTTACTTTAACAAAAATATCTCCCAAAACTTTATGATATGTACGAAGATGAAATATCGTCTTCTAGTCAATTGGAGTATTTTCTTGAATAAGAAACGTCATAGCGTATTTATATTTCTTATCTTCATGAACAATGACTTTTTATTGCTCACGAAATAGCTTCTAGTATGATTAAGTATTTTCTCAAGCTATTAATCTACGGTTTTGTTAAAATTAATTCTATATGCCCTTACAATTATTCTTTGTACAAGTGTAAAAATGACATCATCATAAATCATTCTACTTTAAATGTGCTAAAGAAAGTTTCATGTGTGTATTTCATCGAAAAAACTTCTAATAAAATTTGAATCTTGACTGAAAATTATTATTTAAACGATTAAAAGTTTTCTCTTTTAGACATTCTCCAATTCGTTTGTACATGTGATGCGTTTTTCACCGCCTCCCTTAAAGCTTTTCAACGCCTAGGAAATCAATAATCAAACAAAAGGAATATCAGTATGTCCTTATAATTTTGAAGAGGCCAATATTTTGAGTTTGTTTAGAAATTCGAGTACTCGTTTGCTATACAACAGGTGTTGATCAAAGTCCATATCTTAGAACAATCCAAGATGTACGAATACGGTTTACCCTTATCGTACATGTACATTCGTGCTTGTTCAGCCGTAAAGGGCTACGCTGCAGCATCTGAAGTAGGAATACAGAGGTATTCATATTCTCGGTTCGATGAACTGTGTCAGCGCGGCATGCGCAAAGTTCAAGGTGGCAAATGAGGTATTAATCGAAAGGATGCGCGAATTAAGTCAAGTACTACTTTATTTTATTTTGTTTGATTCGGAGGCCACGAAGACTCACTTCGTTTGTGCATATATACTTATGTTGTTTGGAAAGTGAGAAGTACGCTGGCGAGAGCAAATGCGAATAGAGATGCATTTTCACACACGAGTTCACTTCAATTAGTTGCAAAATCACAGTGAGGAATTTCAGAGTTGACGCTCAGATTGATTTTTTTTAATTGGCATATATCCAGTTACGTAACTGATTAAAAAAAAAAAGAATCAACTGTTGAAAATTATTTTGTTACATCTTAAAAAATGGGTTGAGTCAACGAATGAATATTTGATATAGTGAGTGTAGTCTTAACAGCTATTCATCAACAAAACGCTTTACGGGCATAGAATTATGCATCCGTAACGGCAAACCTAAACGATTATACATTTAGGTCGCTTATAAGCACCATTCATTTGGGCAAAATTGCCCTCGATCCTATGATGGACCATATTGACTCCCTAGACATATGTCGAATTAATTAAAGCCACCGAGGTGGTTGATGTCGAGAGATGCTTATATAAATCTAAGCAAATCCGATCAGCGCGAACACAAAGGATGAGCCCGCAGAGAGCTTTGAGGTGGGCGAAAGTCAGACAGCCAGTCATGTACATGTTTTACAATGCAATGCGTGCGCGAGTTGTTACGAGGTTCACCGCAGTAACGTCTTGCTTGAATTTGAATCAGTCCAAGTTGGGAATCATGAAAATCGCCTTTATGCGGCGAACTCGAACTCTAATATTATTTGAGAAACGAATAGAATTGATGTGTAAATTTTCAAGTATATTTCGTAATGAAGGTCAAATAAATAACTGAACGAATTTGAATTAATTGAGGCGAATTTTCTTGTCCAAGAAAAACGACATCGTTACGGTAACTCGTCACATCATTGTTTCAACGAAAAATTAAAAGTGTACTTTATTACATTAACAAGAGCTTTAAAAAGCAAAAATAATAACCGACTTGATCAGAAGTTGAAAACTATCTGACTCAATTTTTTCTTGTTGCGAAGAAAGTCATTCAACGCATCATTGCCATAGCAACCGTAATTATTTTTTTGTAAATTAAAGTTGAGCCTATTCGAATGGACAAAAGTCTGCTTCAATACCTCGCTACGTACTTTTGTCTCGTTCGACGAACCAGCTGTCACCCTCAAAATTCATCATTTTTGTACGTTCATACATAGATCCTATTTTCTCAAGGTTTAATGCATTTAAATATTTTCATAAAATATAACAATAACTCAATGCTAAAATTACTTTTTTCTTTCACAAATTCCAATAAAGAGTTTACTTTTTTCATATAAATGAAAAACATGAAAATTAAGGATTACTATTAAAATTTTTGGTTTCTGATGTTAAAAAATGTTTTTATAGGTCCTTTATAAAAAATATATGTCTGTAGTTCCTATTATTATTAAAATTCATCCAGGATTCATATATAAGCGGAAAAGAATTTTATTTCAAAACTTTTGAGACCTAAAGGACAAATTGAAAAAATCATACATTGAAAATCATGCGATCAATGACTTAGAAATCACAAGTCAATATATATGGATGAATTTTAGTAGTAAGAGGAACTAGAGACATATTTCTTGTTGTAAAAGGACCTATAAAAACATATTTTGACATCAGAAACAAAAAATTTTAATATTAATCCTTAATTTTCATGCTTTTCATTTATAGGCATAAACACAGGCGTGTACCTCTTTTTTAAATATTTCGAATAAAAAGAATAAAATAAAAGATATCGCAGGAGCCGAGTGAAAAACTGTTGGATAGTGTCTTTTTGCAGATCTGGGCAAAAGATGGGTGCTGAAATCGAACATTTTCAGCTCAGAGTAGATCCCTGAAGGCTTTTTTGCGATATTTTCTTTTTGCGCTAGTAAATTATCTTTTAAAAGGGTAAACAGACTTTGTTACATGAGCCATTACAATGAAATTTGCTGAATCAAGAAATACAAGCTACGATACCAGGGGTCTGCTATTTAAAGCTGAAGAATGACGAATAATACAAGCATGAAGCATATATAAAGCTTTTTTTCTCCCACACAAAGAGTTCAGGAATCTACTCCGAGCTAGAAATTTTCGATTTCAGCACCCATCTTTTGCCCACATCTGCAAAAAGACACTATCTAACAGTTTTTCACTTGGTTCCTGCGATATCTTTTATTTTATTCTTTTTATTCGAAATATTTAAAAAAGGTGTACACCCTAATAAACACTGGTGTGTCCCTTAATGGAAAATAACGCTTCGCTCAATTCAAACCAAAAGGTTTTATTAATTTTAACAAACATTGACCGTTTCAATAATCATACAAGATTTTTCACTTCTATCTTGATGAATCGAGTGGCGTTTCCTGATCTATCTTTCGTTTCGGTTTGTGAAATCGAAGATACAATTCAATAATCGCTTCATCAGGATGCTATTGCTTCAGGCAATTTTGCCAATCTCTTTTTGCCTTGGGCTGAGTTGTCTCATACTGCAGAAGCATTAATGCCTAAGACATTACAATATATCACAGCCACGTCGAAAACTTTCGATACTTGAAGCAAAAATCTCAAACACGTCTGACCGTATAATAGTGTGTTTCACTGAAAAATGATAATATCTTTGTCTTTCTTTCAGAAAAGTTTACTCAAATATGCGTGGCGCTTTTAATAGAACAATCACATGTTGTCAGTAGGTTGTTCATTAAAATTACAAGTGGCGAGTATGTTACGCACGCTCGAAACCCACTTGAACAATTAAAATAATCATGGCTTTGGTGCACTGGCAATTGTCAGGAAACATTGTGCGCAACAAGCTAGATGGGGTGGAATAATGAAAAAAACAACAACACGAAAGTCCTGTTCGCACACGGTGCTGTACTCGTAAATACAGCAAAAACAAGCTTGCGCCGAGGTACACGCTTCTGCGAAATAATAGAAACATCGTTGGCGCGACGTTGTATCACGCGCGAATAAAACACATATACATGCTATATATAAATTTTGCAGGGCCATATACGTATACTTTATGCTCGAGCGTTTGAGTGCGTTTACAGCCACAATAGACTCGGCTTGAGTATAAAGCGATAGGTATATAGTCGAGCCGGTGCCACGGAAAAGTTTCATCATGCTCGCTGCTACACTACTACCCCCGTGTGCAGACGAGTAGTGTCGATGCTGCAGCGCGTCCGGTACACTTTCCATTAAGGGCACACACGCAGACACAGACATATTATTTATACTCCGGCTCGCGTGTCTCTCGTTCGCGCTGTATGCGCCTACACCGAGCACACGCGCGCACACCCACACTTATCGATTCCGAGAGTCTGCAAGCTCTATTGCCGACAAGTATTGCTTTTTTCTGAATCTTTCACACCGTCTCTCGCGCCGTGCCACTATCAACTCCCTACCATCTCTCTATCTCTGTCTCTCTCAGCCCACTGATACGAGCACTCGTGAGTGTGTGAATGCAACGAGATTGATGTTTAAGATATAGTTTCCGCGAAGACATGCGAGTGCCTTTATTATGTGACGACGCAGACTCGAGTCGATATATTTATTGCCTGTAGCTTTCCGCGATACCTACATGTAAAAGGTCCTGTTTTTATCAAGCTCATATAATACCTAATTATTATAATGATGATAAACTTAATCTTAATACTAATAATAATAACAATAATAATAGTAATAGTAGTAATAATAATAGTAATAGTAGTAGTAATAATAATAATAATAATGCAGAAGAACTGATATTTACCGAGAATGCTTGCGCGAAAAGCAAGCCCTAGTACTTGGAAAATCGCAAGTAATTTTCTCTTCGCTGCGCTACCACTACTTCTAGTCCTGAGAGATATCGACAATTTCCGTTGGTACGATGCACGCCGCGGTTAGTACTGCTCGTGCCGGCAGCCGGATCGTTTCTATAACATCTCATATTGCTTTCCGAATTTGACTCATTTAAAAAAAGAACTAAAAAATAAAAATCCATGACCCAAGAATACGTCTATTGATAAAAATGATATTTGTGTGTAAATATGAGTTTGCTGCCTGTGCACATCTGGAGCGTTTAAATCTTTGTGATACGCGAGCGCGCAACATCGGAAATACGATCTAGCTGCAACGGTTTTCTCTATGCTGCTCCCTCTCTTTCGACCGTGCAAAAAGCGTCGAAGTGAAAATTTTCCCTGAAATGTAAAATACAAACTTGAACGAGCTGTACATTTTTACTCTTCTTTATCCGTTTCACCTTTCTAATTCTTCTCTTGTTACTCGTTATTTTTTTATTTTTTTCTACATTGTACACGCGCTACATGTAATCCACCAAACTTGTTTTTCATTATTTTTCGAAACTCCGCTCGTATCATTGACTTGATGCTCGTTTTAAGTATATTTTAAAAGTTTCGACTCGAGAGCTTATGCAGCAGAAAGTTGAAGCTTTGGAAAGCTCGAACACGCTCGTACGAGACTTGAAATAATCTTCTTTTTTCCATAAGCTCTTCACCGCGCGCAACGCTATCCTTTTTTTTAGTCAAATAATTTGAATTTTTCCAACACTGCAACGCGATTCAGAATAAAGATCAAATTGCACTCTACACGTCAAGAGTCGAAATAATCACTGTCGTGCGCGTTGTCTAAATAAAAGACAAAAAAGCTCGCTACCAAATTTTGCCCACTCGCAGCTGCTCCGATGTTTTGCAGTCTGTTGATGCAAGGCTTAATATATTCGTCACTTGTTTTCAATTTGCTCGCGCTCTTATATGCAAATTGGCTTGAAAACCTTCAACCACGAGCACGGCACACGATACAAACAACATACTCTATAGCTGCTCGTATGTGAATAATATTCGAATCATTTCAATCCCTGCCAAATTCGTATATACACAGAGCCGAGCTTTTTCAATTTGAGCGGTCCAAAAGCGCACCGAAAGCTTTCACGCGTACATAGGTAGTACTCGCGTATCGCTATTTACCGGATCGGCCAGGCACGAGCGATTTAATTTGAGCTTGACCCCAGCGTATCCCACCAGCTGGACAGAATTACGTTTCATTGGGCATCGGCCATCTCTGTGTATAAGTGCCTAACTAGGTCTAGTTTGCTAGAGTGAATTTCAGGCTTCGAGTAAAGGGAATGCCGTATTCGTGTGTGTGGGTCGCAGGGAAAACTTTTGAAATAAATACAAATTAATGGATGGTTCAACCGATGCAATCAAAGCTACCGATGCGATATTCGTGTATGCGCGCTTAAAATTTTCCTAGTATATTTTTTTTATTCTCGTGGCACAAAGCCGTGACGGTCGTTAAACAAAATACATAAAACAGTTTGAGCAAAATGAGAAAATTGGCAACTTTAAGCATGGCATTTTCCTCAAAGCTCTTGGCGTATAACTGCGAACGAAACTTATCATAGGCCAATTTCCTTTAAACTTGCTTCAATATCTCTATATTGAATACTTTTTTAGCATGATATACGCACAGATGCCACTACTTATACGAGGTATATTACTATGTTTGTCGTTCGTAGCGGAGGCAGGAATTTCCGTAAAAGCTGCTGCGCGAGTCGATGGCTCAATCTCCGATGACGTCTTTTGAAACCGAAGCTCGGCGATACATAGCATCCGACAAACTGACGTCTCTCTCTAGACTCTCGCCGGCGGTTATACCGACATAACGAGTTTATTATAATGTCAGCCATTTAAGTTTGCTAGAAGCTAGCCATTTCTGGATTTCTCAATGATCGAGTCCCTTGGAGGTGCTCGGCTTAACATACTTGGCTCGAGATTCGCGTAGAGCTTCTAAAATGTTGGCATTCCGCTAACGTACAACTATATGTTTATCATACGCGAAATGTCGACATAGCTGCGCGTGCAGTCTCGTGCCGTGCTGCCTCGCTCGCTCAAAACTTTCGACGAGTTTACGTTACATATAGCTGCAGTCGTGCGCGGCTTACACCCGATTATTACCCGCTCGTCTAATTCGTGCATTAAATGTTACACGCTGGAAGTGCACCGTATTAAGCAGGCACTTAGTTGTGCGCTCAACTTAAAATTCATCCAGAACATTATATATTTGTTTGAAGATCATGTCGATATATGAATAATTAATCACGCAATTGTCAATTTCAGATTTGCAACGATGAGTTAGTAAAAGCTCGAGCGTCACCGAGGCAGATCAAACTGTGCCAGCCAACTCGCGTGTGTGGGTGTGTGCCTCGTCGTCCTAGTCGACAACACTGGATCGCGCGCGTGTCAGAAGGCTATGCATGAAGACCCGACGAAAAATCTCATCGGTAGCAGTAGTAGTAGTAGCAGCAGTATCAACATGTCGTTTCTGTTCGCGCGAGGTCCACCGAGGAGGGGCCCGATCCTCTGCATCGTGGCGCTGCTCTTCCTGCTCGTGCTTTATCAACTCGGCATCATCTGTACCACGACCAAAGAGCCACCGAACGCAATTATGATGCCTAAGGATGTGAGTGTTGCGAAATTTTCTGGCTTTTTAATACGAGTATAATTTGGATTATTACCATCTTGGCCTGACTTCAAATAAATCTAATTTTATTTATCGATCATTCCAATCCAACTTTTCTTGCTTTTTGAACAAGCTCGCGTATGATTCACATGAGACGAGTATTACATAAAATTGCAATATGTGATTCAAGAACGCATCAATTTTAAGAAGCAACAGTTTTCATTCTTCGAAATTCAAGAGTAATGCATTTTAAAAATTGCTTAAATTTCATATTCATGTTTAAGCTCAGTATATAAATATTTTATTAGTAGTTAAAATGTACGATTCTTTACTGGAAAAAAACTTTTCTACTTTTAAATAATCACTGCGTTCTTGAGCTCCAAATATTGCGATCGATATTAAACATACTATTTTTTCTCTGTGATTATCGAAGTTACCTTCCTCATTTTTTGTTATTCAAAAACTCTTCAAACAAACCGCGGGGATATTCCATTTTCCATATTTACTTCACGGTCATTCGGCCATCGAAGTAAACACGAGAGAAAACGCTGGGAAATATATGTGGGAAATGTATGTTGGTAACAAATATCATCGATTCACGATAACTGCAGCTAGAACGTTCAACTTGTTTTCAGTCGTACATTTCGTTCGGGTAACTATATAAAACCGACTCGAGTATAAAGAAAAAAAATAAGAATAAAAAAGATTCGCATAGACTTGGATAAACAAACATAAGCGGGGTGAGATGCAATATACATATAAAAATTGCTTTTTATACTTGTCGATAATTACTGAATCCATAATACGCGTAGATCTAATTATCCGCAGCTACTTCTTTTTTTTCCTCCTCGACAAAGCTAAATCCAAAGCCAAACGCGTCGCGCGACATCGTAGGTATATAGAGAAGTCGAACTGTGCGCGCATATACTCGTTAAAACTCGGGTAAATCCTGCATGGCGGTGGCAGCAGCGGCGGTGGGAAAGCACTGCGGCTGGCGGATGATTTTTTTCAGCTTGGTTGCTCACGAATTCGCGCATGGAAATCCTCTTAAAACGCAATTTTTCTATCTTCCTCTCTCGCTCGCATGCCGGTATATAGATGGTAGAGGCTCAAATCCAAGCCGATTTAGCCAGGCTCAATCCAGTTTTCCCTCGACCCTCTCTCTCTCTTTCTCTCTCGACTTTTTCGTCTCAGTGGTGGCAGCGATGCCATATCCATCTTCCAAACGCTCGCTTTCCGAGCCAGTTGTAGAGAGTATGAATGAGCAGATATTTTTACCCACGTTGGCATTTGCTAATCAGGTTCTGACGTGTTCAAATTTAACTATTACATGTATGAAATATATAGGCTTGTGCGCGGGGGTCAAAAGGTTCACGAACTTACGTAAACCCAGCGCTATAGAGCGCCTAGCAGCTGAGTCTCGTTGAAAGCTTTTTCCATTTTTCAAAAGGCCTTCCTGCCGCCGCCGCCGCCGCTGCTGCTACTGCTGCTACTGCCGCTGTTGCTGCTGCTTCTGCACTCGTCTATCGAACAGCAGCCGCAACTCTCGAGCTTTGTTCGAAGCTCGCGCGTGATTCAGCGCGGGGGAGCAGCAGTGGTGGTGGCGGCAGCGACGACGACGACGACGACAAAAAGCGCCATAGTTGTATAGCAAAGTAGAAGAGAGACGGAGAGAAAAATTGTCCTCCCTCTTAGCTTTCTTCGCGCTTTTATGTGGGCGAACCAAAAAGCGACCTCGCTTCCCCCAACTCACGCGTCTGGTTGTTCACCTTCTTTATCGCACCTTAATGAGCTTGTTTTGTTCCCTATTTTCAGAGTTCGATCGATCGAAACAAATAATAAGCGCAACTTTTGTAGTTGCCGCACTCTTGAAGGCAATCGAAGCATTTCTCAACAATCGTAAATACATATAGTCGCTACGCATACACACGTGTACGTGACTCTCGAGGACTGTACCTCGTGAATGTAATTGTAACTAGGCCCCTTATACTTCTCTCTTTTACCTATTTTTAATAACTCGTATGACGACGAAGACAAGAGCATCGCACGCGAATACCACAAAGTTAAAATGTAGCGATGCAATACAGCTGCCGCGTACAATGTGCATACACCTGAAGAAATTTTATTCTTCTTTTCCCTACACCGCCATGAACTGGCCTCTTTTTCTCCGGGCACGTATTTGTGAGAGTTTTCGTCGAGAATACCCAACGACCGCTTTTCTGGTTACATTCTTCTTTTTCAAGGATAATCAACTTATTCTTCTTTTCCGTTTGTCTTAAAAAGAAATTATTTTTCATGCATCCAAGTTTAATACCTAATTTTCTTGATCAAGTTGAAACACTTAGATTGTGGACCGCAGATACTATTCATCAAATGTGAATCTGCTGCTGGTATATTAATGCGCTTGCTCGAGCGTGCAAAGTTCTTTTAGCTGTTGAGCTTTTATATAATGCATTTGGTTGTGAAAGACTGCAGAATCAATAACTTTAACATAATGATGACTTTTGAATCGAGTTATTAAAGTCTTTCATATTGACAAATAATTATCAATTACAAAAACGCTCCGAAAAGTAGTTCGAAAAGCTGCGGGTATAGTCACGTCATTACGATTGAACAAGTATAACTGGTCATTAGACGCGATCAAATTACGCAGCTGTGCCCGCGATATAATATCGCCGTTATAAAAAAATTTCAAATTATACCTGCATATTACAAAGGAAAGAAGCAGTAATTAGATATTTAAGCACAGCATTATGAAGTGAACAAGCGTAAAAGAGTTAAAGAAAAAATTAAATACTTGTCAGTTATCGCCTCCTATTGTCCATACAGTCAACAGATTATAAACTGATATATTCCGTAAAAATATTTTACAGCCAATTGAAGTGCTAGTAAAATACTCACGCTATTTTTAATACAAAAATTCTCGCTTTTGCTGATTTAGTTTTCTAGTAACCATTGTTGTAGGGCAACAGAAGTGAGTTTTTACGCTACGTTTCGTGTTCAATTCTTTCGTTGATCTCTAACATAGCCTTGAGGCAAATAAACAACCTACCAATGAACCATCTCATTCACCAACTCATAACAACGACTGTTTATGGGATCGTTACATATCGCACTTTTAGGTTTATAGAGTACCTATCGCGCCTAAAGAAGTTTCACTTCGAAATAGCTGTTGAATCACCCTTTTCCTAGAAATAAATGGAAAATGAAACTAAGGAAAACTCGGAAAATGTGGCAGACTATTTTTTTGATTTTATATTGAAAGATAACTTGCGAAAAAAATATGGTTAGGTGGCTACAGACACAGTTTCGTGACATTTTTTCCTCCAAACTTTTCCCATACTTTTTTCACGTGAGATAACATAGATATAAGATGCGACTAGGCGGGGAAAAAGTACGCCTTTATACGTTTCTGTAGATAACTGAAGCTTTACAATATCGATGATGTCGATTCATTATTCACGGATCTCTCGCGAGCTTGCACTTGGGGCGCCCCCGCCTGTTCTAAATTCAACGCTAGATAATTTACTCGTGCGTTTTGAGTCATAGCATTGCTACTACTACTACTTATGGCACTGCGTAAAGTCAAAAGCAAGAACAAAAATCGATTAAAAGTATTCCGCTACGAGGGCGTAATTTATTGTCAAGTGTATTATGCATGTTCTGCACAAATCGGCTTTACCAACACTACGGCAAGATCCTTTTGAAACGTCGCAGACAGCTGCGTTTTCCACGTCCTCGCGCGACGACATCGCTATGCACATAATTCGACGCTTTCTTCGCTGCATACGATATAAGCTGCAATTCTTACTTCTCGTTTCGCCTGTTTCTTACTTTCTCTCTTTTCTTCGTGCTCTTTTGGTATATGCATGCATTTTCGCGCCAAAAAGAGGATGAACTCGAGGAATAAAAAAGCCGGGAAGCGAGAAGACAACGTTTGCGACAGGCGAGGGCGCGGCCGGGACAGGATTTGCGTTATGCACGGTGAAAAATTCTAATTGTGAAAAAAATTTTCTCGCCCTTTTTTTCGTTTACGTGTCTCTGTGTGTATATGCATTGAAGCCGTTGACAGTTTCGCAACACTTTGTTCTTGGGCTTGACGCTTTAACTCGTTGCGCATTTGCTGTGCGTCTTGTTTTTGGCCTTTCGCATCCATTTCCTTCTTTGTCACTGTCTTCTACAGTTTGTAGCTTGCTATTGTTGTTTATTTTTTCTTCTCCTTTTTTTCGCCATAGTTTCGTGTGTACACATTTACGCTTGTGAGTATACATATAGTTGTATATGCATAGAAAACAACAGCAAAAAACTTGTCGCTGCGAGGCTTTGTTTTCACCTATCCCAGTACACACCGTTGCATGCACGTAAACTTGTTGTTTTTTTTACTTACTCGTATTTTTTTATGCACCTTGCAGTCAAGAGTACTTTACACATTCGTCGCTCATATAGTGTGTGTAAGACCCCTCGAAGTAGTTACTCGTTTTGTTAAGCTTTTGATCTACGCACAATGCTCTTCTATACGTGTACACGTGTATTACATACGTAGTTGCGGGATCATCCCACTTCGAGTGTCTAAAAACAGTCATTCTTAAGACGCCTTTATGATAAATCTTAGTTGGTTTGTTTGAAAAGCTTCTTAACTTTTGTATTATCTGCGTAAAGAAATAAAAATTATTATGGTTGTTCCGTAAGTTTAACACATTCACCGTGTCATAGAACTCAAATTTCTCAAACACCCAAAACCTATCGAGCGTTCAATGTATTTGAAAGTAGCCCGTTTAAATTTTCAATATATTCTAGTTGAATATACAGCAGTTACAAGGTAGCAAAATTAAAGTTGTTGAATATTTGGCACGTGAACTGCAGCTACAGTGTGTAAATTGTTATTGTCGTTCGCGGCGCAGAGACAGTACCAAAAGTCGTTGAATAATTAAAAAATTCTTACATTCACTCGAATAATGCGTGGAATTTTTCAATTTAATACGTTTAAAGAATGAATATCCCTTTCTCTCTTCCCCCTCGTTTCCTGCAATTTCAAGTGGCGAATCTTTTGTGTAACACAACGTGTAGTATATTGCATTACTCTGCACCGACGACGACAAGTTGGTTGTTTCCATTTTTCTCATATTACCTTTATCGCGTCAACAAATCGGTCCTATCGCTATATATAAACAAGCAAGCCCTGTTGCAGTTGTCATCATTGTTGTTGCAAACATGTGGCGCGCAAGGCACCTATAGGTCCAGAAATGCGCCAGAACTTGCGAGCCGATAACGGCGATAACGCGGCCAAACCGCAAGCTCGTACAATCGAAGCGCTTCTATATGTATACGCGCATCAAGCTGACTCGGCCGCAATTCCGAGATTGTTTTTCATCTATGTGTGCAGTGTAGCTTTGGATTTACGCGAAATTCCAAAGTGAAACACACTCCGAGCGTAATTGAAACGCGCCTAAATCTTATCCCTTTATGTAATATACTATTGACAGGTATACGATATCTCATTGATTGGTATATGCTCGTTTTGCGTTTCAGAAGTACGTTATGGGATCAGGCGACCAGAAAGTCTATCCGTACGATCGAAATATGCCTCTAATCTTCATCGGCGGTGTGCCTCGCTCGGGAACGACACTCATGCGTGCCATGCTGGATGCTCATCCAGAAGTTCGGTAAGTTACTGTTGTTTTACCCAAAATTTGTATTATATCGATAAATCACGTCTCTGGTGCGCATCGCGGCATAAATATACGTCACATCAAAGGTCACGCTCGCTATGTATGCATCGTGTGCGCGCCGCAATTTCCTTTTGCAGCTTGAGCATCAATCAAACAATGCGCAAGACGGCTGCAGCTTTGTAGCATTTTATCGATTTTACAAAAATCATACGGCGTCGAGCCGACGCGCTGATTGATGGGGAGAAAATGAAAATCATAAATGTATCTCCATTTCATTCGATTTTCTCTATGTATCAACGATATAGATGCTGTAATAATATTATATTTGACTTACGCCGTCGTTGCTCTGTTCATAGATGCGGCCAAGAGACGAGAATAATTCCCAGGATACTTCAAATGCGATCGCACTGGGTTAAATCGGAAAGGGAGAGCGTAAGACTCGAGGAAGCCGGCGTCTCGAAAGAGGTATACCAATATATATATATATATATATCTATATTTAAATGTACACGCGCCTCTTTCCTTCGTAGCTGTTATATTTATCTTTTGCCGGCGTCCGCGTCTGATCGATATGACTCGCAAATTGAAGTCTCTGACTCTTTTATCTTTTTTATTTGTGAACTCTAGTATTTTTATGGAAAAGAACTCGAATAAATATAAAGATTTCGATGCGTATAAAGAATAACTCGTGAAAATAGCGAATAATATAGCGCACAGCAGTCGGGCCTGTATGTAATGGAGCAACTTTGGCTACTCGATTTTCCGAAAAATGGCTTGTCGATACGATTTCCCGCTCGGTTTACTCGGTGCGCGCGAAATACCCCATTCACGTCATGACCTTTTGCTGCATGCAACTTCCTGGAACACGCTATTCTCGTAGAATATATAAGTAAACGTGCATGTGTGCGTTAACGCAGGTGATGGACAGCGCCATAGCGGCATTCTGCCTCGAGGTGATCGCGAGACACGGCGAGCCTGCGCCACGACTCTGCAACAAGGACCCGCTCACCCTCAAAATGGGCTCTTACGTGCTCGATCTCTTCCCCAATGCCAAATTCTTATTCATGGTACGAGACGGCCGTGCTACCGTGCATTCCATCATTTCGAGAAAGGTGCGTAAATGAAATCACAAGCGAGCTTTCGATTATTTGAGTTCAAAATTTCGTACAAACATACGTACTTTTGAAATTGGCAGGTGACCATAACAGGCTTCGATCTGACATCGTACCGTCAGTGCATGATCAAGTGGAATCAAGCTATATTGATGATGCACAAGCAGTGCCGAGAGGTCGGACCCGATCGCTGCCTCATGGTGCCGTACGAACAGCTGGTGCTTCATCCGCGCGAGTGGATGCAGAAAATTCTCGGCTTCCTCGACGTGCCCTGGAACGAGTCGGTGCTGCATCACGAGGAGTTCATTAACAAACCCGGTGGTGTTCCCCTCAGCAAGTACGTCATATTTGTTTTTTATCAAATTCTTATACGATTGAATTTTCTATTGGGAGCTGTGTATTGACGAACTCGTTGCTGTATGCTCACAGGGTCGAGCGCTCGTCGGACCAAGTGATCAAGCCGGTGAATCTGGAGGCGTTGACCAAGTGGGTCGGCAACATACCCGAGGACGTCGTGCACGACATGGCCGAGCTAGCTCCGATGCTGTCGATCCTCAATTACGATCCTTACGCTAATCCGCCGAATTACGGCGCGCCGGACAAACTCGTCAGCGAGAACACGAGGAAGTGAGTTTTGCCTCTCCTCATTAAGTTTATAGGTATACAGATCGCTCTTTGAGTTATTTTGATTTTTTTTTTGTTCATTTCATTTAATTCATATGAATGTCATTTTATAATATCCTCGATTGCGCGATTAGCTTATTGCACATACGAACTTCTGTTTTTGCAGGGTATTGACCAACGGTCAGAGATGGGACAATATGGCACGAGAGCTGGACCTCTTGCGAACGGTGACGTACCTGCCACCACAAATCGCTAACAATGCTAGCACCGACAACGATGTCAATAATGCGTGACCTCGATAAAAGTCGTCGTCAAAGTCATCATCGTCGTCGTCGTCGTCGACTGCCACAGTCACGTTGACCGAATAGCCGTCGTCCTCATCGAGCGTCAGAGCAACGATTGACGCAATGATTTTCATGCACGGCAACAGTGATCGACCCAAAAGACTATACACAATCATACGAATCCTTAACTATCTTCGATCTCGGCCAGTCTATATAAATAAACATAATGTTGCAAAGTAACTTTGCAAGAGGATGTGCAATTGCTTAATTTGTGAACTTTTTGTGATTCTTACGCGAGAGAACAGAGATGCGGTGTGCATAGGAATAAACAAATTTTCCAGAGAATTATACGATTTTACTAATGTGGTGTGACTACACGTGTATATAATTTATTGGAGAGTAGAGAGTGTGATGAATATATGAAGAATCGTTGATAAACGATTGTATTTACTACATTCATAAAATGATATCTGCTGTACAGAGTATGAATACTGCTCAAAGTATATTGTTGTATGAAAGATATAATATTTTATGATTAAATTTGTTCTATTGCTAAAACAAAGTTATAAATCGAGAAAACTAAAAACAAAACAATAGTGTCTATGTCTGCTTTAAAAGATAGATATTGATACTGACAAAGTACTGACTACGAATGAGCGCCCTGGGTTTAACGCTAGTTTTTCCACATATAAAATTCGTGTCTTTTCTTGTTTTATTAAACAGACTGTCTATTCGTAGTCTAAAGTAACCCATAATATTTTTGTTTCGCGTAAGCGAACTTGTATAATACATAGATATACAATCATGGGTTAATTTTGACTGCGAATTAACAGACTCTTTATTTAAATCGACATTTCAGATAGAAAACGAACCATGTTCAATTGGTAATGTTACTTAAAACTTGAAAATATAATGATTTTATATATTAGATGAAATATGTTGAAATGAAAAAAAGACAAAAATTTGAGTAAAAAAAAATTTTAAAAACTTTTTACTGAAGAATTAACGTTAAAACTCACATTCCTGGTCATTCTCTTGAGAATGCTTTTTTAAAAAAGTTTGATGCATTTGTGGTATTGTGATAACAACGTCCATTGTTTTTGTTTCAAATGTTGAAGATTAGATATAAAAAATATGCAATATTATTTAATGATTGTTTCTAATGAATGAAGTTAGGAAAAAAAGTTTAGCTATGTGTAAAATCTGAATTTTTAATATGTAACAAATTTGATTCAATTTTTTTACATATCTATATAACAGAATAACTGAAATTTTTTAATTGTATGATTGTTCGTGTGTAAGTAATTTACATATTAAAAACGTTTTAATTTTTTATTCATAAAATGGAGTTTACTTTTTAACAATCCTTTAAAACTTTTAAACTCAATTTTTCAATTTAATTGTTAACCAAGAAAATATCCTGCCCTTAGTAATAAAACTTTCTAAAGTGAAAAATCAATTTAGAGCGTGCTAATTCATTCAATATCATTTAGTATTTTGTACAACAATAATTTGCTTTCACCATTTGTCGGTAAAGTAGGAAAAACCAAGTTTGTAATCTTTTTTGATAGTCATGATCTTTTAAAAATTGAGATGTACCTTTTATTTTTTTAACTTCAGGTGGCTTGATGTAATTTCTCAATTAAAATACAATTAATGATCTAGAGTTGGAAATTCCGCAATAATCTAATTTCAAAAAACTAAAATACTTTTAAGTTAAAAATTCTTCAATTACCGAGGAATGCAACTATTGAATATCTTTTTATGTTCCTGTTTTATTGTCAAGTAGATTTCACATAAATTGTTGATTGACATTTTAACTAAAGTTGAATTAAAAATTTGATTGTTTACAAATTATTTTTTCGTATATAAAAATAGAATAGAACATTAAAGCTTAAAAACGATCGTCATCTTATAGGTATATACACTTAAGAAATTTGTATTATTTTTACATAAACTCTTTTGAAGATATTTACGCAATAATAATCATACATTCTTATTATACTATCATTATATAATAGAAAACACTCAAGATAATTATGCATGTTTACGATAAAACAATTTATCCTCGTTACATATTTACTTTTTTGTTCGACTAATAATTCGAAACATTACAAATTTGTATATACACTAGTTATAAAACAATAGGAATCAAAAACAAACATCGTCTTATCTTTGGCAGTAGTCAGACTTATATTGCATTTCAATTAAACATGCTATTTTAAATGTATATTTAAATTTTCGTTTACCTCAAATGTGTATTTGAAATATTTATCGTTAGAAGGTGCTTTTAGTTTCATTGATAAATTACATTAAAAGATCATTTAAAGCATAACGAGTTTCAAGCATTTAGTTAAGAGTGCCTATTCATGCAAAATTCAATCTACGCACTGTAACAATTAATTTTTAATTGTTCACCTTGTGCAAAATTGAACTATTGTCGAATATATAATATTTGCAGTTATGTACATCGAAATTTTCCTCGTTAACATTCAACCATTACGCAGAGACGCACAAGTTGCTTTACTCGAAGATCATTATGTGTATGCGGTCGTTACTTTTGTACCGCAATTTATAATACTGTTTATCATCCTCATTGATCGTTTAATACTTTAATCTCCCCGTCGAGCAGGCGAGACTCGCAGTTGGTCTCTCTATTAACGTCGGCTTCGATAGTTAACGTCGACTCGGTGTGCAGAACTGTTTTCTCTTCGTCTTCCTCGTCGTCGTCGTCGTCATAGTCTTCGTCATTATCGCAATCCGCATACCTCATTGACATCTTGAAGGTATAGCTTTGCGTCTCGACGGAATTAGTCTTGGTCGTCATTTCGACGATAGGCTCCACCGGGGCATTATTTAATTTCGTCGTTGAAGGATCATCGCTGCTGCCCGGCTGATGTCCGTTGCAACGCAATATCGAGGACGTTTGCTTTTTTAGTTTCTCATGATCTACATTATGATTTGCATCAGACTTTTGTGGGATTTCCGAATTGTTTCTGTAAATCAAGAAAAAAATTAAATGTCTTGAAATAATAGTTTCATAAAGAATAAAAAGTACTTTCTTTGTAATTCTATAAAAGTTTTAAATCGGAAGAAGTTTCTCGCGCAATTAAAGCTTTCATTAAAATTGTAAAAGTTGTCGCAGTAGTAATTTTTTTCCATGTAACGATGACAACTATTACGAAAAATAAGTTTTACACGTTTGCCAGAGCAATTTCATTTATCAAAACTAGTTTCTTTAATTCATCTCGAAACTAAAAAATATTATTATTACTTTTTAGCGAATTAATAGGATCGCAACCAAGCTTTAGAGTAATCAAATTTTAATTCAATGAATTCGACCTGATAGAAATGTTGTATCAACTTTTTCAATGGACCCCTTAGTAAAAAGGGCATTATTTTGCACGATAGACAATATTTTCTGATCACGCGAAGCGAACTGTTTACACAAGCAGTAACATTAACCAAAGCAAACAATGTCCGTTTATAAACGAAAACTGATTGAAATCAAACAAAGTGTCTGCGCATGGATCGCGTCGACGAGGATCGCGACTCGAGTTCAAAACGCAACGTCGCGCAAAGTTTAATTTTAAAAGCACGTAGACAAAAAATATGCGTTGTAGCCAGAGAGCCTTAAAAATGTCCCGAAGGCAATCGGCTAGAAGAGCCGATTAAAGCGATTCAATTTGAATCGATAAGTACATGGCTCTACACGGATAGGAATTACTGCCGCTGTAATGAAAAAGAGAGTATAATCAGCTGCCGACTCACTCGGGTAGATTTTTCACAAAGCTCGGAGGTGCGGCGATTTGCATCTCTCTCAATCGAGCCTCGTGCACTTGTCGCATTAAGCTCGTCGTCGAAGCGGGCCGAGTGCCAGATGCAGCTGCGGAGAACTCGCTTATTTGAGCGTAGCGCAGCGACGACGAGGCCGCCGTTGATCTCGCCATCGCAGCCGTGGCTAGGCTTCTGCTGCTGCCGCCTCGCTGCGAGCCAATCATTGCACCGGCTGCGGCACAGGGAAGCGAGAAAACTTAATAAATCTGTTGGCGCTTCGTGTTTTATATGGCTTATTTTTCGCGGCTTCATTTATCTGGGCGCGCGTGACGCGCTTCGTTCGCTCTACCGAGCAACAATTTTTTAAGAGATAAAAAAAGAGTCAACGCTCCGGACGCGCCACAGAGATTTATACATTGCTTTTCCGGGCTTTTACGCTCGGCATAGCTTGATGCGAAATCGTTGTTTTTTTTATAAGCATTTTTACACGTGCCAAGCGCAATGTATTCTTATTTTGGCGAAAAAAGCTCGTAGAGTCATCGTAATTTAAATTTTGGACAGAGGCACTCGCTTAATCCTCGCCGGCTACACGAACAATACATTTTTACCTTTTTGCTCCTGAATAACGCTGACGGGTCCAGCTGTGGCTGCGGTGGCCGTCGCGGCGCTCTTGGCCCGTCCCGGGAACAGCAGCCCGTAGATAAAGTTCTTCAGGGCTGCCCGAAAGTCCTTGAGATGATAGGCGTAGAGCAGTGGATTGCCGGCCGAGTTGAGGTGCGACAGTATGATGCAGGTGTTGAGCACGACGTTGTTCACTTGGCACTCGTGGCAGAAGGCCATGACGCAGTTGATGGTGTAGAGCGGAAACCAGCAGATGATGAAGAAGGCGACTATGCGCGACAGATTCTGCGAGGCCTTGACGTCGCGCTTCTGCGCCGCACCGAGCAGTCGCAGCATCGTGCCGTGGCCCTCGTTCTCCTTGCGCTTGCCCGGGTTCATCGTCATGATTTGTTGCAGCTGCAACATCGTTACATCGCCTTTTTTATTTTTCTTTGCTCACTTTCTCTAATGAAAATGCAAAATCTTCAACTTGCTAGCAAAAACGTGGCAATGATTCATACGAAATATCATATTTACGACGAATAGTCTAGCTTATTAAATTTGATAAATAAACAGTATAGGCGTTATTCGCGAGCGTAAAATAGCCAAGAGATTATTTCCAACTTGATGAAATATAATAAACAGCTCTCGAAACGATCGTTGATTCCATTTTGCAGGGAAATAAAGTTTCGATGCATCTATAAGTATAAAGAAAACAGGTATCTCATCAGTCTCCAAAATTAACTCGTGCGAAAATTTTCCCCTCTGCCTTAAGTGCACGCACAGATGATATTTCTTTCGCACTCGCCGCATTATAATGATGTGTCGGAGCAGCCGAACGAGTTTATTGCAAGCCCAAAGCGATCGTCGGATGGAAAAAGCTGCATCGTATTACCAGAGACTCATACGTTATTTTACCTGCTTAACGACGACGCTCCAGATGTGAGCGTAAAATGCTATGATGAGAATCGCCGGGAAGATGATGGTGGTACAGTAGAGAAAGACCAGGTAATTGTAATCCATAACCTCGGTAAAGATGCACTTCTCGTCGGACTTGTGGCCGGCGTTCCAGCCGAGCAGCGGTAAAAAACCGACGAGCGTACCGAGGACCCAGCACACGCATATGATACCTGCAACAAAGGACGTACATTATATAATTTTATTTATTTTTTCCCCCTTTTTATTCTTCTTATTTTTTATGTAACTCGAGTCGAAACAGAAGACGCTCTGCAAGAGAATTACGCGCACCTCGCGATCTCTATACTACCTGCGTGTTTGCATAACGATTACAAAAGGTTTGACTCTTCCTCAAAAGTAATTCCCATGACGCTTTACCTATTTTCTCTTACATGTGTTTGTGCAGCCGAGGACGCGCATATAATATGGTTTTATATCTTTGGAAGGGTCTTTGCTACTCTCCATTGGCCGTCGGGTGTTCATCGATTTTATATACATTACCGAGCTTAAACCGTTTCAAATTTATTCATGGTCGTTATATTTTTTTCTCATCAAATAGAAGCTGTTCCGCAGAATAAAACGCAATATCATTCTTTTTATCGTCAAATAAAACTTTGAAAATTTGCTTTCATACTTTCGTGCAGCTTTGAAAAATGACTTAGTAAACATTATTAATTATGATGTTTTATTAATATTTCAGATATTCGCCAACACAAGTAATGATAATTTCAACCGTATGACGACACTTGTTTGTAAATAACATTGTAATCAAATTTAGTACATATATTATTTTATGAAGGAAGAAAATTTGTAGTATCGGTGCATTCTACAAAAATAAGAACAATTTTTTCCAAGCTTGCACAAGACACATCACAACATTAAGTTTACCATTTAAAATGGTTAAATACAAATGTATTTTATGTTCTTTTCAATGTAGACAAAATAATGAATTTCCTACTATGTCGAGATCTTTTTATGTGACTAAATTAACTTACAAGCTTTTTAATTGTCGACGCTTATTCACTATAGTGTATATGCCCTGCAGTCAATTATCTACCATACACGATGGTTTTTTCTCTCTCTCTCTCTTTATATATTATGTTCGCGCATTAAAGTAAAACAAAAGATTTTTTTCTCGATGCTGTATGGATGCAAACAGTATACAATTAATACATGTCAATTTTAATTACGATTTATGCTGCACACACTTGACGCGTGAGCATTTTTTACTACGGTGCTCGGATCTACTGGATTATGCAACGCACGACAGTGGCAAGCTCGCGCTGATTTTAAACGTATAGGAAAATTCACGATCGTTATGAGCAACACCCTTGAACGGCTCGAGTCAACGCAAGAACCAACAAAACGCCTATGTGCACGAGCTGCTGCCGTTGCTCGATGATAATCCATTTAAATATTTAAACAGACGATGAGCGTGCCAGTACGTGTTTATATATGGTATTGTCACATCGCGCCCATCTCTCAGTACAATCAATTTTGCACACGCTATGGACAAAAAAAATATATGAGGAGAAAAGAAAAGGAAAACGTGTGTAGGCTTCGTAAGGGCTTTGGGAATATCGACCAGACACGACGCTCGTTGCCTCTATCCTACTTTACACACATACACACGCACACACAAATACACTTACGCACGTCAGTTATATAGCGCTCCTAACGAAGACGAATGTACGTGTGAAAGTGAAAAAATCCACGGTCTATGCATAGTACTACGTAATTAAAATCTACATTGGCTCAGACAGAAAAGAATTACTTTAACTACTGCGAGAACTCTCGGCTTCGGTGCATTGGCGATCTCTTCATAGAGATACTATATAGTTAAATAATGATGCAGGGGGTTGATACTGCCGTTCATTTGTATATCTATATAGTTAGCATAGCCGCACGCTGATTGCCTGATGAGAGTAGAATATTGAATGCGGGGTTTCAATGAATCAATTGATGGATAAGAATAGCCTCTCGAGAGCTTTCAAATGTGATTGGGAAAAAATTTGTCTTCCTCTTTTTTTGTGCGTGCGCTAAAGAAACCCCAGTCGACTTGATTCTTTTTATTTTAGAAATACAACAATTAATTTAATTATGATAAGTCGAGAACTAGTGAAGCGTTGGGAAAACAAAATTAAGCCGTTCATTTATACATTTTTTTCTAATTCTCGGCTTTGAGCAATTATTTCTGTCATGCAAGAAGATCACGTACACGTAAGCGTCAACCGACTGCAGCAGTTATGACTTTTGTAGGTGCGGTAATTGAATAAGTTCGTTACGAGCCCTCGGAGACTATACACGATGTACGGCCCAGTAAAAAAAAAGGAAAAAAAGATAAAGAAGCACTGCCATCGGTATTGCTAGAGGACACGCGGCACGTTATAATTCACATTTTATATCTGCGCACGCAAGGCCATTAGCATTTTTATATCGATCGCTTTCTTCTGATATTTCAAATTTCAATTTGTCGCTCTGGAAGCGCGCCCGTAAGATGACAGACGCGACGACTCTATTATTTACTACTTGGATGCACCTGATACTGCGGCGAACACGTCGTTAGCATCCGAAGCCGCCGAGCCGTGATATATACGTTCAGTGTCATTGTCGATGAATATATCCGCAAAAAGATAAATATTTTAAAATTAAAAAAGTTTTCTATTGTGTTTTTTTTGTGTGCTCGCTCACACGTACACTGCATTTGATACACTGTAAAAAATAGTTTGCTTTCTTATACAACAAAAGATGATCGCTTATTTAATATCGTGACTTTTTGACATTTTTGCGATCGATCATTGAGTACATTCGAGGTAATCTTCTTCAAGTATTTAATTAAATTCATACAAATTTGCTCATTGAACGAAGCAAATTAGATAATAAGTAAATGTTATAAGATTCGAGTGGATGGTTAACTCGAAGAGGGTGTAATTTTCCTCGTGATTCCACACGCGAGAGAGCGCCAATTTTATTAAAGAGTCGCGTATGTCTCAAGACTAAAAAGACTCGAGCTTGCAATCATTGATGCGTGCAATATTCGACTTGAAGACAATATTCTAAAGCTCCTATTTTGCTATTATATGTCGTAGCGTAAATATTAAGTCACATTATGGTTTTTTACACGAAAAATCTGTAATGTTATAAAATTCATTCGAATGTTTAATCGAAATGTACACCAAAATAATCTCAAAAACAAGCATTCAATTACTTTGGTACGTTAAATAATAGCAAATGAGTACAACAATTTACAGCTCCGCAATCAACGAACTTCGATTTGCCATAAAACATGCAGAATTTTTGCCTTTAGACGTGATCACGAAGAAAGAAGTTTACGACGTAGTCAGCAGCAGGAACGTATAACAAAGAGAAAAAAACCCGCGGAAAAAAGCATGTCTCAATTGAATCTTCATACTTTAGACATATTCCGAGAAAGCCCCTTATGTTGGAGCTTTTCTTACATCGACATCTTTTCTCTCATTCTTTCTGAGACTCGCGGACGATCAGAGAAAACTCCTGATAATGCGTGAAATTAAACAAAAATAGCCGTTTCACGTGGTCGGTGAAAAGACTGTCCCGAGCTTGTTTAAATGGAAATACGAGAAAGCGTTGAGAGGGCATCGTAAGATTATACCTATGGCAGTCTTGGTTCGCACCGTCCTGGAGTATCCCATCGGATGCAGTATAGCCCAGTAGCGGTCGATCGAGACGGCGACGAGGCAGAAAATGCTTATGGTGCAGAGCACCACCAGGACCGAGACCGTGAAGAGACAGGCGTAGAGATTGGTCGGCAGGCCGATGCTGGCCAGTATGGCGAACGGTATGGCGAAGAGGCCGACCAGCAGATCAGCCGTAGCCAGCGATATGATGTAGTAGTTGGTGCGTCTGCGCAATTTGCGCTCCTTCTTGAAGACGAGTATGACGAGGCCGTTGCCGATCACGGCCGTCACGGCCACGACGATCTCGCTGACGACGTAGGGCAGATTCAGCTCGCCGTAGCTGCCGCTCGACTCGAGGCTCCTCGTCGTCGTCGCGTTCGACTCCTCGGCTGACATACTGCCTGGCCAGCATAATTTTTTCACGTCCACGAGAGCGAATGCGTCTATCACTCGCGCGCGCCAAGCCTAGATGCTGATGATGCTGACGATCGTCGCTTGTCAATTTACTCCGCTCCGTGAATGATCGTATGCTCTTTGCGCTTCGACTTCATCGTCGATTCTGCAATGAAAAATTCAACAATTATGTCTGCTTGTTTACATTTTATCACTGTGCATTCTGTACTACGTGTACTCGTTTGAATTGAAACACAGGAATTTCGCAATTATGCTCGTGTTACGCTCTATCGATACAAGTTCACTCTTGAGCCAGAGCTCGCAAAACTTTATGTATTCGCTAAAGTTTTTGGTGTAATTGAACCAAGTTTGGATTGAAGGCTAAAAGCTTGTACAAGATGCGCTAGCTCCAATTGTGTAATTGTTTTCCGTTTCTGAGTCAAGGGGTGAAATCCCGAGCTATACTTATTCAATATTGTCTGCTTTAATCTAACCTTAATTGATTCGCTACGGTGCTTCGATCGAGTTATGAGTAAAGATGCTAAATCGATCAAAAGTCAATTCTTAAAATTTATGAAAATTTGTAAATCAAAGGATTGGAGTAGAAATTATCGTTAGTTTCAATTGATTCATACGATATTTTATCACGTCATAAGTCAAAATTATTCTCGATTTTGGCTAATAATTTGTTTTATTGACAAATGCATAATGATCGCTTAGTAAACTCGCGATACATACGCATAATAGTGCTTCAGCTCATAATTTTCCTCTAAAGATGTGCGACTCATAAAACTTTCTAATAGTTGATTCTTTTCTTTGGTTTTTCGAATAATTCAACCCTTGAAAAGCGCCTCGGCATCTCTGTAATACAAGGAGCGCTTGCAACAGTCGTGTCCCATAAAACAAAAAAAATTCGCGCCTGCTACTATCCGTTGCACACACCATACTGCACTCATGTCAGAGCTGTACGACTCTACGACGGACGCAAAAAAGCGCATTCCCTATTGTATCCAGAGGCTAATATTAAACGCCACATCGAATTTTCGAGACACGTTTTCCATTCGCCATTCCCACCACGTGCGTATAATTTTCGCTCTCTCTCTCTCTTTCGCTTCCAATGAGAGGAGGAAACAGCGTGAGTAGACGTGCCAGCGTAGAAGAGGCATCGATCATCGTGTTCAGGCTAAGGTGCCAAGGAAAAATGTACCCACGCCGAGGCTATATAACTAGTTGAACGTGCCTTCCGACGATGGCGTACGAAGAGATGCAACATGTGTCAAAGAAGCAACTGAATGATGTAAAAATACAGTGGACCAGCACGAAAGCTAAGTTTCTTTGGTTTATCCAGGAATGAATAAAATTATGCCAAAAATAATTTTGGCTGAAATATTTTTATTTCAGTTTTATTGTTAATATTGAATTGCCATCGTTGTCTACGATTATTGATTATTTCATCTTAATTACAATGAATCGTTCAAAATTCAACAATTTTATTTGTGTTTCTGTTGAAGGGCTACAAGTAAAAATCGAGTTTCACACTGCGACGAAAAAATCCACGCTATGCAATTTCTTTCCTTCCACGCCCCAACTGCTTTTCTGCAAAAGTTCTGTATTGCACCGAACTTTTTTGTTTGAATAGGCTTTTTCTATGTCTGCTATACGCTAGTTTGCTTCGCAACTGGCCCTGACGCCATATGTTTCGGAAAAGAGAAAAATTGCATTTTTTCCTATTCAATTGTTGAGCAAGTTCTGACACGTGGTGCGGTATAATTTCTATGTTTTTTTCTCGACTAACTAAAATTTAGTAGAATAAGAGTAGATTCTTTGAGCTCGTTCTCATGAATAATTGAAGATTAATATCGTTATAAGTATACCATTTAATATAATTTTCGGATGCCCCGTTAATTTAACGTGAAAAAAATACGTTGAAACTCTCATTTTATCACTTGTTCCACTATAATATTATATTTTTAATTAAAATCAGCAAGAAAGTTGATCGGCATCTTGAGCATGACTTGTTTACTCGATGATTGATTATTGCGTTAACTCGTGTATAAGTACAGACACAAAACTTTTTGTTATAAAAGTAAGTAAAAAATACCAATGAAAAATCCGTTGTGTTATTTCAGTTTTATACAGATAAATGAAGTATGCAAAGATCAAAATTCGAGTTCATCCAAGGACTAAAACGACCAGATTCTTGGGCCATCATCTACACGCGCCAAGTCATTCGCAAGACAATTACTCGGGAGAATAGCGGGGAAAGACTAAATTTCTGAAGCAGTTGGCTTATGATTCGTGTACAGCTGTCCGCAGCCGCGCGTTGGATGTACATGTAGCCCATGTATATGCACAACTCCGGCTGCTTTACAGCACGACCGCTACGGTAACTTTGGGGCGAGTCTGCGTCTATAGCAGCTTTACGAGTTGAAATTTGAATGTCCCCTCACGTCCTTTCGTTGTACGCTAGTTTGGCCAGGCACGAGACATGCGCGCCTGTTGCAAGCTCCATGCACGTACCAAAGCTCCTGACCGCGTGTGTAGTGATTTTCAGCTCATTTTTGACTAATGGCAGCGCGTGCCCCAGTTGACCACATTCTATTGGATTTTCTAAATTGACAAAACGAACTGAACGCGTTCCCAGGGAGGAGAAAAACTTAAATCGAAAATCGATGTGTGAATTTCTTTCGATCTGTATGAGGATATACGCCGTTGATACATAAAAATGTTGGCTATTTTCTTTCTCTATGTTTTTACGCCCAGTAAACACGTGCTCCAGCAGCTGAAGAGGACAAAGCTAACAAACATTAAATTTAACAACTGCAAGTGCAACGCTGAGTATTTGTCAATAGCAGTATTCGACTGTTTCCGAAATATCGTATTAAATATTTTCTCGGTTTTTCTCGAATCCTAGTTTTTTTTCTCTCTTCGCGGCAATTAAGCACAGACTTTGCTTATCTGCCACAAGCACGATTTCTTGCACATCCAAAGAAAATAAAAAAAATGAAAACGTCCCCCAAAAAATTCAAAGGGCATAATTTATACAATCTAGGTCAAAAAAGTACCACCCTGGCAGAAAGTCAACGCTTTTCTTTATGTATACACGAGCTTACAATCGTCAATGGTACACGTCCTCGGGCTCGCTCCTTTTTTCTCTCTTATCCTTATCTCACTCGACACCCTTGGCCACATTTCATAAAGATTAGCTGACTGAAAGTGCAAAGACAAAAGAATGAGGGACGAAAAAAATGGTCGCAAAAGTATGAATAACCCATGCTACCCGAAACTCTCTGAGAGGCGTCCTCGCGAAATATTGCCAATCTCTTTTTTTTTTTTTGTTTTACGTCCCCTCGGTTTCATGTAAACCAGAAAAAGTTGGATTGGTTGTTTGCAATAAGAACCTATATTTATAATTTCTTTGCTATCTTTTAAAGTGCGAGAAAAAAAAGTTACTTATTTTGTGACTCATAATTTCGTTCGTTTGGGGTCGAGCCACACACTTGACTTATCAACACTTATATTAGACTTCAAGAGACCGTACGTCCACCTTTTTCCGAAATATCGAGTTTTTTAAATGGACTGGACAAAAAAGCGAAGAAAAAGTGACCAACAAATGCTTCATGGCATTTGTAATTTTCTCCCTCTAGTTTGAGCTACGTATTAGACTAGAAATCTTATCTTTCACGAATGCCTTTTTGATCTACGAAAGCTATCGTTCTTCGTCTCTTTGTAATAAATCGCGAGAAAAGTTATAAAGTATGCTAAACCCTCTTGGTCGAGAGATAAAAACTTTCTCGCTCTTCAACACTATCTTAGAGGGTAGTAACTTAACATGCGATGAAATTTAATTTTCACTGTTAAAGAGGGCAGCCTGAATCGCTAATTTAATATTGCAAGCTCGAGGCAATTCGAGCATTTAAAAATGTTGAAAATTGCAGAATCAGCACCAAAATTCGTATTTTACAGCGTTATCTGCACTCGCAGCGAGTGATACAGTATGCGTTATATTTTTAGCGTCACTCGAGCGCGGGTTTATTCAACGTAGCGTAATTTCCACGTGATTAGATTCGTATATAAGCGCAATTCCGTCGGTCACGTATGAGCGTTTGTTTCGGACCGACGCGCGAGAATAGCTCGTTCGCGCGGCAAAGCGCGCCGACTTTTCACCGATGACGAGAGAAATATATCCACGAAGCTCTCGCTGCGCCCACAGAGATCGGCGAGCTTCCATCGGGAATTGCATTAAATTTGTAAAATATATCAAAAATGAATATCTTTGAAATACATCCCACATTCATTTCGAATGCCCAAGGCGAATGACACATTCGAGAGAGTGTAAAGTACACTCGCTTTTTCGCTATTGGCTTCTCACACCCGCGCAAAGTTTTCAAAAGTTTTCTCTCACTCTTTTTTCCTCCAAAGGCGGTAAAAATAAACTTTTCATCCTCGAAATTCTAACTGGAAAACGGTCATTTTTTTATTTTTACTCTCTCTTAAGCTCTCGTGTGAACTGTCTCTGCACGGCACGGTATGCTTTAAACACACAGCCACTCCTCGCGTAATAAGAGGCGTCATAACGTGTACTCGGTTTCAAGCTGGTAGGAAATCGCACGGCACATACTAAGACTTAGTATCCACCCTTCCAAGCGTGCGATCGAACTGCCTTGACATTATGTATATATCTTCAAAAGTGACGATTTGTCACGCACAGTATAGTCGTCTTAAAGCGTCGCCAGCGACGGATACGAAAACACGGCGCGTCTAATGCACGCTGTGTGCAATAAATTAATAACAAAGTTAATGCAAAATAACCAAAGGATTTGGTTTGAACAGTCGTAGCATTTAAATGCCGTCAAAGGTTATTAATAGGCAAAAAAATATTTAAAAAGCAACAGATACTCGATAGCACTCGATAAAGGGCAATTATGTGACATTTCAAAACTTTATTTAGTCGAATCGCTAAACTTTTAACTCGCTGTAAAAGTACTGAACTAAATAATAAATACTAAATTAAAAAATTATCTCAAAAACTTCATTTTTAAACTTTTTTTAAATAGTCCAGATCGAAAAAACAGGAAAATTTTCATTCAATTTTTACCACATTGTGCGAGAAAATTTTTAACGAATTAAAACAAGACAAAGAGCTAAAAACGTGGTTTTTGTGGTTTTTACCTTGTCTGTACGGCGCAGGGAGCCCCGGAAAAATTTAAGGCCCGACTTTGAAGGTTTCTTGGCGATTTTCTCTGGGAAAATGAATTATTTCGGGAAATCTGACCTTAGAAATTTGAGGCCATGGAAATGATAAACAACTTTTTTCTTATAGGTGCTTTAAGGTATACTTTTTCAGCGAGTTAGAAGTTGAACGATTGGACTAAATAACACCGTGCCTGGCCGCCCCATAGGACTTTTGACGTGAAATGTCACTGATTAAGAATTGATGAATTTACTCGAATAAAACGTGGTTCATCAAACTAGCGTACTTATACCAGTGATTGACCGCTTTCGACCAGAAAATGACCACTTTTGGATATGCAATAATTATCGTTTTTCCTTATTAAATTATGATCGAACATCCAAAACAAGATGCATCGTTCACTTAAGAATTGAATTCCGTCCATACAAATATATTTTTAATTGTTTTTCATATGATATTTTCCAAAATGGTCATTCACTGGTACCCGGTCATTGATTGGTCTGACTACCCTATATTTTCTTTTCAGCATCTACCATGGAGAATTAATCAATTGTTTCAGTCAGTGTATAAAGCTCGAGGTTGTTGGAATAACAAACGTAAATGATAATGAACTTTTTTTTTTATAATTGACGTCAAATTATTGCCTTTAAATCTATTTTTTTTTTTAAATATTTATAATATGAAAAAATTTTACTTTCCGAATATTCATGGATGAAATTCGATACGTTTTGAGTAAATTTGAATGGAAAAATGAAAACTGATTGAACGTTTAAAGAAAATTAGTATTAAAATACTTATGTCCACGTACTGTGAGCAAGAGAGGCAATTTTCAAGCAATTTCAATCACATGTATAATCACAATAAATAAAAAAAAATTATAAATTAGATGATTGTAAAAATGTTGTGAATGTTTGGTTCAATAATATTTTGATTAGAGAATTTTTATGGACTCTGATTTTTTTTCAATAACGTTTGTATTAAAAATGTATAATTGAATAATGTGCTGGGCTGTACCATTGAAAAGTCATTCCATCTTTTACAATGAATTGAATAATTATTGTTTTACTTTTTTTTATTGATATTATAGAGAAAAGCTGGAAACGCAATAATAGTGTGAAATAATTGTGTGAAAGTTTTAATATGAAAAAAAAACATTCGAAAATGTGTCACGAGTAATTGGATAAATATCTAATGCCATGAGCTATTTAATGAGCACGTTGATTTTATCTGAGGAAAAATCGTGACAAATGATAAGAGGCACGTGCTAGCTAAATACCAGTTTTTTTTCTACTTTTTAACCAACACACAAAGCCAATGAATAATCTTATTGGTTTTATTGACAGGAAGTTTGAGCAAAAATGCATAGATCAGCAAGGTGAGATAGCATCGTTACATGAATTACCAACGAATCGATTACAAGTTGAGGATACCTAAGAACGATGACGCACATAAAAAGTGTTTATTTTTCTTACCGAATTCTCGTAAAGAAATTTTCCATCTTTTCGCGGTGCGAACTCACTTGTTTAAAATTGATTTTCTTGGCACTTGTTGCAAGTCACAAATCGAACTTTTGCGCATATCTTTGTATGGATTAAACGATTCAAGCAGGATCTCGATTCACAACGTACACAAAAAAAGTCAAATGAAGAAAAAACTTGGTCGCGGCTTTTGTACCTATCCAGCGAACGTCGAGGCACACTGCAGCAGATGAAGCTGCGCGTATAAGCCAGGCGCGTGACGTTATCCAAACGACGGCTCGGGCTGGACTGCAAGAGCAACCATAATACACGGGCGCACGCGACGACGTGTGCATGTATATAATACGTATCAGCCGGGCGAGAGGCTCGCGCGCACATACCACCGAGCGCCGTGACCGTTGCATTGCTACTTGTCTTCGTGCCCTTGTGCACTTTTACTCGTGATTTTTTCACATTTATTTTTCGTTTTTTTTTGCACTACTCAGAATTCGTCTCTCATCTCTTGTTAAAAATTGTATTCTGTCCATAAAGCAAGCGCAAGAGCGAGCCGATTAATCTTTACTAATCGTAAAGCAAAAATTCCGCTAAAGATACGTATGTAAACCAGCGATGAAGTGTAACAGGTCATGCCGCGAGTACGCGTACATGTACGGAGCAACACACATCCCAATATGGATCTATTTGGTATTACGCAGACATGGGCTTTTCTCATTGGGCAATATCAAGCCTGCATTGACAGCTTCAATGCCGTCCGACGCGCCGTGCCAACAAACACGCATTACATGTATGTAAGCATTCACGAGTTAGAGTAATTTATCCGCATGTGAGCGGTAGCCGATGATTAAAAGTAATACTTTTCAATCGCAGCTGTGCTTGCGATTACAAAGGCAGCGTTTCCTATGCCACAATGCAATAAAAAGGGAAGGAAGTGAAAGAAATTTCGTTAAACACGAAAAAAGTTTTTTCTTCGTCACTAGGTCTTTGCATCTTGCCTCGGGGGTTTATATTATTATAAGGTCTATGAAATTGTTCTTCAATATGCGACTCAATCTGTACAGTCACTTGTATTTTACATATTTTTTGAGTCGTTGCGAGAATTTATAATAGAAATGCTGCAACAGACGCGGCGCTCTTTCGAATCACAATACAGTCGACCATATTACGAAGAAAGCTAAATTAAAAACAGCTAAAATATTTCAGAGAAATATTCAAGTCTGAGAAAATATTTGCATACAAAGGAAAAAAAATAGCCCCAACAGTTGCCGCGTAATCTCGTTAGCCATCGAGCACATGCTACACTGTAAAATTGAAAAACATCCAGTGCAACTGTACATGTATGTGAACACGCAGTATATGCAGAGAAGGTAAAAGTGATGAATCGCAACCCGCTATCCACTTGAATGAGACTGTAGTGAACATATATTTTCTCTTCCCGTGTGATTGTTTTTTTTTTAGAGCGTCCAATGGTCTAGTGCAAATGTATAAATTTGATAAATTATCTCATATTTTATTAGTCACCTGAATCGAGATAATATTACACGGTATAATGCTCACACAGATCTTGCTGCGTTTTTTTTCAAAGGGTGACTTTTTCGATCAATATCTCGAAACTCGAAAGCTCGTGATTTATCCGATTCACGGAGCTGTTTGATGAAACAAAAAAGTTAGAGTACAAGTGATCAGCTGTTTCGCCTCACGATAAGTATCATATAGATGCTCCGGAGGTAGCTTGCACGAAGCTTGCAGCGAACGCTGTGTCTTATCTAAATAACTCTTGTGAGCACGATAGAGCTTTACGCGAGAGCTTAAGCAAGACTCCTTGACTCGAGGGAGATTATATCGGCTATTAATTTAGCGGTAAGGCGCAAGCTTTTTCGGCATTAATACTCGCGTATGGTTTCCCCAGTGGGCTATCTTGGCTTGGTTCACAGAAATTAACATCATTTGTTTGACCATCCTTTGGAGGATTATTAGAGTTTTGACTTTGATTGGTCAACGGGTGAGCATTGTTCGAGCGATGGGACAATTCGTCCTTGAATAAAAAATCCTTTTGACAGTTCATCGTCTTCTCGCGCCAACGCCATTCCTTTGTGTCGGTCAAAGGCTCGCTCGTGGTATAAAATCGACTTGGACAGAGTAAAAAATTACCAATTTTATTGGAGCGAGCCGTTCTATTCTCTCGAAGCGATGAACCTGTACGCGGACCTGTACAGCAGCTCGTATAATAGAAGCGGATGAGAGGCAGTACGTGTACGATAGGCGACGAGGGCCGAGGAGCGTCCGGGTTGGCGTTTATTTTAACGAGCTCTGAACGAGCTCTTTCTCTCTCTCACACACAGACTCGCTGAGGTAATTCGGTTGTACTTGTACATTATAGTCTTATTGTCCCCTAACTAGCGCATAACGGGGCGTTTGAAAATTGCAAGTATGCAGATGCGAGTGCGAATGTGTGTGACTGCGTGACTACAATAGTCTAACACATCTACGTATGACTTCATGTCAATATTAACTGATGATGAAGATGGAATTGAAGAAGCTTCAAAAAAACAACTTGTCATATCCAAAAACTTGACCTCCGAAGAAATTGAATTATTATCCCGCGTAAAAATCGTACATGCATATGGCCCAAATATGCACAAATTTAACAAAACTTTTTACAATCTTTGACCCAAGTTTTAATAGTTATAAAATAATGGAATATTTTCAAGTGCGACTAAAAAATCCATATAAATGCATTTGACGGTTTTGGAGTTTTTTAAAGGAGCTGCCTGCTTTGAATTGAGGTTTAATTGAATATAATTACAAATTCTAACTTTTTAATCATTCGTATCATTTACTATTATTTCACAGATCATTGCAATTTGGCAATAGTTGGGGTAACATTCGGCTAAGACTTGAGTCATATTTGATAAAAAAATTGGTTTAAATTTTTAAGCATTTGGTAATGTAACCCAGTCATAACACACGTTCCAGCTAAAGTTCAGATACATTTATATTGAGGTTTGACGGTCATGTTTGGGCAAACCTTTATCCAATGGAAATGTTTGACTACGCATAAAAAATTGTTCAATTCAAAGAGTTTTAAATTATCGATCATATTTTCAAGTGCTCAAGGTCCAATAGCAGAAATGAAAAACAGCATATTAAAGTCGAGACGAGCGAGCAGCGATTCGCCGGTCGACTCGTATAACCGAAGCGCGACGTCGCCGCTCTACGACGAGGCGAACGGCTACAGAAATCAAGATCGACACGCGATATCCAGCTGCGGTGACGAGTATGCATATAATATTCGTTTCGCAGCCTATTCGGCAAGGCTACTCACGCCTCCACACACGCACACGTATACCTAATACGTATATGCGTGTCTCCAGCTATGATATATTACTCGCGAGAAGGATGGATGTACATATATATACGCGCAATACATGCCTAAGCAAGCTCGCATTGTGTGTATACATTCGCCTGGCACATGGCCGCGAAGCTTAATGACTGAATAGTAGCCCCCAGGCCGAAGCGCACATTCTAGTATGGTCGAGAGTGCACTATATTTATGCAAGGATATATAGCACTCGACAATGAGGCTCGGGTAAACCCGTCTTCTCCGAGTGTGCGAGTTCGATATAATGCACATGAGATGCGGACGAGCTGAATAAGTGCGAATGTCGAACAAGTGGGTCTTCTTCGAGTTGGCCTGAGATTGCGACTCTCTGTATCCGCTCGCAAGCTCTTCTTGATCAAGGTGCAACAGCAGTCTCTAATCCGAAATACCAGCAACCACTGTCCTTTATGTACGAGCAAATTCTAGTTAAGAGCTTACGGGTGTAACTTAAATATGCCTTAAGCGAATACATCGGAAGTCACCATATGGAAAGAGAGTTCGTTAATCAGACGATTCGAATCGAGTCGGATGATCCGCACATCCTGACTCGTGTCAAATAGCGATTCGGACGTGGCTTCGGGGTAACATCCGACTGCTGGGACAATTTGAATATTAACCTTCTTCATCGATGTTACGTAGCAAAAGTAACAATAATTCAATGCAATTTTTAGTCTGCGCTTGTAAAACGATACTCATTACGTGCGAGCCCTCGTTATAATAAGTGGAAAGCCGGCACGCTCTCAAGAACTAAATAATCGACCGATATTTTAATCGCTAATATACTCGAATAAATAAGAAAACTTCCCGGAAGAACTGTAAATGCAAATATTTATCCAAGTAAATGTGCTTGAACGCGAAAACGTCAACACTGCATGTACGAATGGATATTTCACTTTGAGAATATATCTATGTACATGTAAACATACATTCTATCGCGCACACTTGCCTACATCTATTCATAGGGAGAGCTTACAGTAAATATCAATCATAATACTCAAGACTGATTATGGCCACTATCGTGTAAACGCTATTGCTGACGACGTTTAATCGAGGGTCCATCTGCATCGAGTTTTACAATAAAGCTCTTCAAGGGCAAGATCGAAAAATGCCTCGTTTGCGTGTCGTCACTTTCCCTGCGTGAGGTAATATCACTTAGGTGGCTTTTTAAACAAAAAATACGCTTACAAGCCGTATGCTAATAATTTGCAGTTATATATTAACATTGTTAGCAAACAATAGCATGCATAAAAATAAAAATAAATAAAAAAAGTAACACAAGCAGAGTTATAAATTTCGTCGAAAGGCCGTTCAGCTGCTACTCAACTACTCAAGTTGTTTACCATGAGTATGAGGATAAATACTTGTCCCTCTACGTACACCACAGTTAGGTTCCGGTAACTTTATCCAATTATAAAAGACCAGCCGTTCAAGCTTGAAACAACCGTCACGATGTAATGCCTGACTCTGGCGCAGCTTCTTTTGGATTTTTTACTCAGACTTTTTTGTTTTTTACGGCCTATTCCATACTTCGTGCATTAACTTGTTTGTAACTTTCTGAATTTTTGCGGGTTCTAGTAATACATACCACTTTGTGATGCCGTTCAAGTATTTTTCAAACTCGAAACATTGAAAAATATCTCACAAGTAGTAAACAAGTATTAAAAGTAAACGATTTTCTTGTTAACACAGTGTTAGACGTTCGATAACAAATTTTAACATAAAAAAAAAATGATGAAGATAGTGAAAGATCAAAAAAATAAACTCCATTTCGATATAGTTTTATATACATATATTTCTCGCTTCAAGTACCCTGCATATACAAATGATATAAGAATTATATGGAAACATAAGCCAATAAAAAATTATCAAAACTGTTTAATTCCTATAAAATCTTCGTTATTATTATTTTTTTTTATTTATTATATATATTTTTTTTCATATATATAAGAAATTCTGAACTTTTTAAATATAAAAATTCGACGAAAAATTGTCCGTAGAAAATGATTGTGGAAGGCTAATATTTACAAATTAGCATTTCAGTTCATTATTGAGTGTTTTCAAATTTATTGAATAGTAAATGATTGTGTCATTCGTCTTGATACATCACCATTTCTATTACTTAAAGGTTCGCATATAGCCTTTATTAATATATAAAATATCCAGGCTGAAAAAATAACGCCAAAATATGCCGTCGTTCCGTACCTGAATGATTAACACACGTTTTTTAGTTTTAAGGCTATAAAAAAAACTTACTTTTGTTAATTAAAAAAATTATTCACCCGAAAAGCCAAAATAGTAACACTCCCAGCATGAATCGTATCATCAAATAGTAGCTGGCAGCTGCTCGTAAACTTATGTGTGGTGGTATGTTTTTCTCATATCCAGAAGAGAATCCAGTTGGAGTTCTTTTAGGTAATTGGACTACAGTCGAAGGTGGCTTTAAAATCTGTCGAGAAATTCTTCCAAAAAAATCTTCTCTGCTATAGGCAGAGCATAAGTGATCCTGATACTGTTAATGAAAAATTTAATTAATAATATACGTCAATTAATGCAGATCAATTTGAAGCTATAAATACTCACCTTATTATTGATATAGCTGCAAAAATTATAAAAAAATCTGACTAGAAAAGCATTTTCATAGCTGCGAACAGGTTGCAGTTCAAGATCACCCATATATTCAATATAACGACAATTTTGACGTCCGTCTTGAATTGGGACGAAAACTCCAGGCCTTGTCGTATCGAAACTTGATTCAAACTGGAAACGAAAAAATGCGATTACTTGCGACCATTTGATAAAATTGTGTCTCCGTGTAGTTGTATTTTTTTTGTCGGTAGATTTATAAAAAAATTTTGACAAGTTTTTACAAACTTTACCAATTCATGCAATTCAACCAATAACTATTATAAATTTAAAAAAAAATGTTACATGTTTAAACGATAGAAAAATAATGAAATCTTTTTTGGGATCACTCTTGAAATTAGTAATCAAATAACTACTAGTGCAATTATCAAGCACACACACGAAAAAGTCCAAAAGTCAAGCATCTACGCGATAAAATTGAATCAGAGACAATGTACCGTGCGGTAGACGTGAGAGAGTAGCTTCCCGAAAAATCTCCAGAGTTCAATGATCAAACTCGATCCAAAACCTCGTTTTCGACTTTTCCGACCCTTCGTAAACAATAAGTTCTCGCGCGACCTCACTGTTAATCAACTTACATGTGACTGATGACAAAACGAAGTAGACAAAATGCTTTCATGATATTCTTGGTCAGCTGCTATTGCCGATTCTGGAATTTCGTCCGCGTTTAGCTAAAAATAACAACGAATGATCATTTTAAAATAAATTAAATATTACGCATAAAACTTTAAAAACTCTTTTGTGCCTTAACTACCTGAAAAACTTCCATCAACTGCATTTGAGCATTAGCAAGAAACACTGGTACTTTTTTTCGATCATCTAAACTTATGTCTTCTGAATTGTTTTCATTTCCATTGAAAAATTCCCAAATGGAAAAAAGAAGGCGTTTTCCAGTGCGACGTTTTTCCAAGGCCTCGACAAGACTTGTTGCAGTTAAATGGGCTTGTTTAATTGCACCCAAAAATTGTATGATCTGCAAATTTAATTTATGCCCTGATTATATATCTTTAGATTACAATTAACAACCTTATAATAAATACACACCTGTTGCATATTTTCGCATGAAAACATTGGGATATATTGATAGGTTGGACCTTCCAGTTCTAAAATTTGTTGTCTAATAGTCCCTGTCCATTGGCAAGCCGAACGATTTCGTGTTAAAGCAATATCATCGAGACAGCATTCAACTTCCATTAATATCTTTGCTAAGAAGGGTTGAGAAAATACCTGAAATATTTAAACAAGTAGTGTTAAAAAATTGAATTTTTATTTTAAATTAAATTTTATTTAATCAATTATACTTTGGTAACTCTGAATAGCATATGTGCATTTTTGGGAGCAACAAGATCTGTACGAAGGAATCGCGGTAACAACTGCTGAAAAATAGCAGTATAAGATAATAAATTATTGGCAACAAATGAGACCCATTTGTTCGGATCTTGAATTTTTCCTCTTTCTTCTTCTTCGATTTTCCTACAGAAAAAAAACATATAGTACCATAATAAAAACCACTCTTTACTAAGTTGATTTTATACAATACTTTGATAAAGGAATTCCTTGAACATATCTCCAAGGTTGTATAAAACTCAGCCACGCTTCCAATATTAATCTAAAAGAGCTGTCTAAAGGCCAATGATGAATAGCTTTTCTCAAGAAAGTGTAAATTTTTCCTTGTACAGATGGCATTATGACACTGCAATAGCAAGTAGATGTATTTTTTACAAGGTTCCATTCCATATATAATACCATTTATTGGTATTATATAATCTACTATATGTAAAATATTTTTACCCTTTTAATTCATCCATTGCACTTTTATCACCTATGGCACTGTTAGCAAATTCGTGCAAAGTTTTAATAAATGTTCTCACTAGCCTTATGTGTTCTCCAGAATGAATGCTATGCTGTTGAGAAAAGTATAAAAAACAATGAAACAACTTTTTTAAGACAATATTGTTAATGTTAACTTACTCTTCTTGGTGGAGAACCATTAACTTGTTGGTTCCGATTTGGAGAAAATTGGGGTTCTTCAGTATATTCTAACCAAAAATCAAGAAATACTTGTAAAATTGTTTCACTTCTCCAAACTTGTGGCAGACATTGTTGAGGAGATGAAGTTGTGTTACAATTATTTGTATTTTGGGATAACATTGTTGGTCTTAAAAGGCGGCATGGTGTTTGTAATCTAAAATTGAGAGTAGTTTAAATTATAAATTAATTAAAAATAATATTAAAAAGTTAATTCATCACTTTTTAGTATCTTGGGCTTGCATCAATTTTCTTGGAGGAGTCTTTTTAACATAAGGCGCTATGTCAGGTAACACAGGTGAATTATCTTTAGGTAAAAAGTGATATAGGTAGCAATTTGCTAATTCAACATATACAGTTTCCCAGTTGACCCATACATTTTCTTGGTGTTGAATTAGTAACCATGGATTGGTCAAATGATACGCAAAGTGAAATATATAGTATTCAAAAGGATTCATTGATAAGTAATTTGGTGTTCGAGAACTATTTTCGTCTTTTATTTTATCAGAATAGAATGGAGGTATTATTCCTTCTTCCAGCATATGCCGGATTTTAGTCTGAAAATAAATTTAATCATTTTATTGGTATTACGATTTCAAATTATTAAATTTTAATATTGAATGGTGATTTTTCTTACCGGCAAGAAAGACACTGGAAAATTATATTTCAAGTAACAATCAGGAAGCAATTTATAGCATGCTGAAAAAATAGGTCCCATAGGACTTAAAAAATTGCATAGCACTTCATATTCTTGAGGATATCGCTTTAAAGTTATAGCATGTAAGTCCCATCCCACATTGTCAGTAACACCAAATATTGAATCAATGAGTAGTGGAAAGATGTGTTGCAGCTCTGCTGTACTAAGATTATCTATAAGAATTGACAGCTCTCTGCATCGTGGAACTAGAGGTAAGCTTAAAAAAGCTTGTACCCTGGCCTGAAATAATTTCAATTTTTAAAGATTTATAATTAAATGAAAATCCTTTGATTAAAAATGTTGTATTCAATTTCGAAATGCCAAAAGCAGAGCAAAAATATAAGCTTTTAAATTTAATTTTTAAGAGTTTAACTGAATACTTTTAAAAGAATTGTGTAAAAGAATCAAAACATTTAAATAGGTATTCAACTTTATTAAATTAAAAATTTATAATTATACAATGTTTTTGGTGTCTCTTCAAAATGAAAAACCAACATTTTAGACATTACATTAAAAACAATCGAATTCATTAAAGTATATCGAATAATAAATTCGACGACAATGAAATTATACCTAACCTCTAAGACATAGCGTAAATCTAAGTGCACATTTCTAATGGCATAGTTATTAAAAATAAAGAATTACCGTTACAACTTCCACTGACGTTGACATAATTAATTTTGTTCGTTAACACAAACATAAAGTGTCAAAATAGTAATAACTTGATAAAACTCGCTTGATATTTTTGACAAACGTCACAACAACAACAACTTGTACAGAGCGATTGCGGCAGCGCAGAGTCAAAATTAGACTCGGAGGCCGGAGCAGACAAATTTTTTGAAAAGAGACGCTACCGCGTGCTTGGAAATGGCGGGCAATGCTTTGAACATCGGTTGACCATCGTTGACTTATACTTTCAATAGCAGGTGTTGATTTACATTCATTTTTTACCCACAGACTATTAAAGATATTGAATAGTAGCACCGAACGTCAGTTGTTTTAAACCATATGAGTTGTCAGTAGAGCAAAATTATTATTAGACAGAAATCATCGGAATGAATTAAATGAATATTTTATTACATTTGGATAATCGTGGTGATGTTGGCAGTAATATACATTGCGCATAAAAATATATGTAACGAGCAGTGCAACATCGACACACCGAGCCGGCAAAATTAATTCGAACAGTGATAGGATGCCTTTGCGCCGAGTAAGTACGTAGCAGGTATAATTTATTCTACATGGGACATGGGAATTGCGCGTCCGCGTGCCGGGCTGCCGGGGTGATAGGTATAATATAGCATGATGCAGGAGGCGCACAGCACAGGTCCACCTTCACAGCGACGTTCCGCAATACGCATGCAGCGCATGATACGGCACTCGATTCGCATGATCTGCGTCGCGACGCGTGCATCCTTGCAATTGTAACCGGCGCGCGTGGACATATACACTACACTGCACACGGGACTCTAGATGCTCGTCCGCGAAATTATCGATCGCAGAAACTTAGCCGGTAACTTTATATTGCATTCTGTTATACGTACGATATGAGCGTTGAATATGCTATAGGTATATACGACAGGCATTCTACCTATACTTCACCTCGTTTCAGCGGAGCACCACATACCTGGCTAGCTCGCTCGACAACGTCTTACATACGCTCTCGAGAGAGCTGTATTAATTAAACAGCCCCAAAGCTGCATAACCAGTAGTAGTATCATAGCCGGAGCCTAGAGAGATCGATCAATAAGTAAAAATAAACGCGGCCCGAACCACTGCATCCATATAGGAAGCTTTCTGCGATCGTCGTTACATTTCACGGTTTCTCTCGAGGAGTCTCGCGAGGCTGTGCAGAGAGAGAGAGAGAGAGAGGTGCGGCGGTGGCCTGACGATTCGCACTAGGCGGAATTTAATCATTTGGTCGGCAACGAATATATCATTTTCAATATAAAGCTACTACGGTGTGCGACATAAGCATATAATAAAAATTGTAAATTTGGTGCAGATGAGTGCGCGCAAAACAAGTTCAAAAGTCTGTATAAAGAAGGTATAAATAAGTTGATGTTCGCGTATCGTCGGTGAAGAATCTTGCATATATAACGGCTATCAGCAGCTTTGCAACTCGGCAGATCGCGCTTCTGCCTGCTGTGCGCTCTGCTTGTGCTGCACTGATACATCACGTCGCATCAATTGTCCTTACTGCTCGACTTTTGACGTCCACAGAAGAATGGCCTTGGCCTGTACGTCGGCGAGAATGGTAAATACGATGTCCACTTCCAGCTACCACAGAAAATCACTTATAATATACACACCCTTTTCCGAATCATCATTTGCTCCGTAATCCCGATATTTACCGTCTAAGTAAGGCCATGCCGAATGGCAGATCGAAGGTGTTGTAAGCATACTCGGTACTCTCATCGTCCTCGTCATCCTTAACATTGGTCGCGTTCAATTCCATCTCCTTAGCCCAAGCATCGAGTCCTCTTTCCTCGTTGCTCCCTGAAAATCATAACATCGTAGAGGCTTGTGCTTTTTTATCATTAAAATGATAGGAAAATCATGCTGGTAAGAGTGCGTACGCTGACATATTTCACGCGATTGCTTATTCGTTTTTCTCTCTCTCTCTCTCTCTCTCTCTCTCTCTCTCTCTCTCTCTCTCTCTCTCTCTTTCTCTCTTGCTTTTGCACGAATGTATATGTACGCTGATGCTGTTGCAGCAACATCGTTAATCGCAAGAGGTATGCGGCGCTTTTGCCTGACAGCGTATGCAGTACTGCATAAACGTATATAGTGGGTGGTGCATTGAGGTTAATGACTCTTGTGAACTTGATCTATGTGTTGCCATGACCTTTGCGTACGTAGGTTTATAGAAGATCAAGTGAGCTTTTTGATTTTTTTTTCGCAAAGTTGATGAGAAAGTTCAGCTTTATGGGAGTGTTGAAAAGTTTTTTCAATGTGGATTTGAATTACTCAGCTGAACTATTTAGGGTTTAAGATTATCGATGAAGGCAACTTACATGATTTAAACAATTATTTTTTTCTTTACCTGGAATCAAGTTATCCAAAAAGCATCCAATAGCTCCTCCAACCAAAATAGTTGTGCTTAATAATACTGTTAAAACTCCATCAACTACTTCATTGCCAGTTTTTATTACATCAGGATGTTTGATCATCCACTTAGAAAGTACCTGTAAATTTGATTCATCTTATGCAGTTTACCATGCATTATATCTTTTTTGTAAATATTAATTTTACCAGTGGAAAAAAAACAGAAAATCCAAGTATATAGAGATTGCGGGCTGAATTCAAATTGATATATTGTAGAGCTGAGAAACCTGAAAGAATTTTAAAAATGTAAAATATGACTTTTTAAAATTAATTTTTGTTCTTACTCACCAAATGCAGCTATCATACCAAACATAATACAAAATATTCCACCAACAATTGGTTCTGGAATGATTATAAAAACTGCTCCAAATTTGCTAATTACACCCTGCAGTATCATGAGCACACAAGCCCATTGTATAACTCGTCGACTTCCAACTTTAGTCACTCCTATCAAATTTTAACATTTTTTTAAAATTCAGTCATCCCAAAATAACAATTTTTATATACCTATAGTTCCAACATTTTCTCCAAATGTATTGGTTCCATTGCCACTTCCCCAAAGTCCAGCTAATAGCGTACCAAGTCCTTCCATACCAATTCCTCGGTTAATTGCATGAACCGGGGGAGGTGGAGCTCCTGTGTAATATTTTCAAATATAATTCATATTCTTGTGATTTTTTAGAACTAAATCTATAAATATTTGTTACAGTTACCACACATTCTTGAGGTTGTTGGATAATAGCTTATGGACTCAACTGTACAAGCTAATACTCCAGCAAGCATTCCCAAAACTCCAGACAACGTAACTGTTGGAACTCCCCATTGTCCTGGATAAGGAACTCTAAACCAAGGCGAATCATTGATAATTTTTAACTTTGTATCTGTTCTTCCTGGATGACCAACTGGTAACGCATCAGTAAACGTCAAAATGGCACAAATAATCCACATGACAACAATCGTAAGTAATACCTAAATTAAAAGCATCCTTTACATAATATATTTGATGTAATTTTACAACATTACTTTTGAAACTTACTGGGAAAAGTTTGAATAGAGCAAACCAAGTTATTTTGAATCCCTGATTTTTTTTATAAACTATAATTGGAACATTGACATTAACTAAGACTTGAGAGTACAGCGTTAACATCAGTATAGTTCTGAAAATAATACCCAATTAGGCATAAATTATAGTTGTAACATATACATTTTTATGTAAAAATACATTCAAATCACCCTGCAGCTATTCCCCAATGTTTTGAAGCAGCATCAGCTGCATTTTCGAAGAGCGATAATCCAACCAAAGAAACTGTTGGTACTATAGTTAACGGTGTAACGAATTTCAATAGGTATCCAATTATGCCTATAAAAATTACATAGTGATGAAGTGCCATTAGTTTTGATGTTGATTACAACAACAAATAAACCGCATTGATTACCACCATATCCAACAATTACTTGAAATAAAGCCGACACAGCGATTGCACCGGAAAGTTCTCTCATTCTTACTTGCCACATTTCGGTTCTGTCTTCAGGAGCCATTTGACTAAGAACATCCTCGGCTGGACACTTCCATTGTGGCAAATTTAGAATAGCCAAAGTTGGTACTAAAAACGATATCGTACCTCCCTGAACCAATGGTAATCTGTAAATAATATATTATTCAAAATTTCGACCTTGAAAATAAAAATATTGTTTTTTAAAAACAAGCACGAGCGATTGTAACTCGGTTAATGTGTATTCATTCGCTGATCTGTTTGAAAAACGATAAGCATTAAAAATTCTTTTCTTGAAACCATCATCATAAATGGAATTCTGTCGAGCGTAAAATCGTAAAATGATAATTTGAACAATAAAACCCGACATCTAATAAGCGCTTGATCAGTGCACAATCTCTACTCAATGCATATTATCTTTACAAGCATTAAATAATAGCTGTTAATACTCGCGGAAGCTACATTTTTTTAAATTAAATCTCAGAATTAGATTTGATTTTGCTTTGCTTTGCTTCATATCGCGTTTTAAAAATGTCGTTAATGCACAAAATACTTCTGTGCAAAGTACCTGCAACCTATGGTCGACTGCAAAAATGTCACCAGACCGGTGACAAAAATCATCGTCGAGATGATATAGCTACGGGCAGGATCGTCCTCAGCCATACACAGAGCCGGCGTTAGAATGAAAGGTATCGATACTATGGCTCCGATCATGGTCAGATAGTGCTAGAATTGTTAATCTTTTTAACGTTACACATCAAAATCAGGTATTTGATGCTCGTGTTGGCTATATAAACTCGGCTCGAGATTTATGTACCTGAAGTGCCATGAATAAGCAAAGGTACCAAGGTGGCACGTCGTCTATCCCATAAGTTATGTCGCTGCCTCTACTCTCGGCTACTTTGTCCTTATTACCTTGGAAATCCTCGTTACTCTCCTGTTCCAGCGTAACCGCCGTATGCTCCATAATCCCCTGCAAAGTATAACGAAGCGATGACTATTTACTTGGAATCAGATTAATCGCGAGAGCGAGCGCAGGTTTTTTTGTTTTTTACTATAAATAATAGAGTCTGACATGCTGCGCGCAGTACAAGAAAATCAATTGCCGAGGATCTCGACCTAGTCGCGGATTAATGCGTGAAAACCCCTTTAAGAATGCATGATTTTCCTTGTTGCAATAATGGGCGTGTACGCGCGTACGAACCTGTGCGAATTTAAATTTCGTTCGAGCATGCAGCACCGGCAGCTACACGTCTCTTTAGCTATAAATTATGCTAATTCAATAAATTTGCTCTCAAACTCGATCTCAAGGCACTTATCCTACAAAGAGCAATGTAGATTGAAAAAGAAAACTTAGGTATTATTGATCACGCTGAAAATTACACTTTTGCACGTATACGCATTATACACACACGAGTGTCTGTGCAAATATAACGCGGGAATCGGTCGAATAATTAAAGCAAACACATCGTAGCTATAACGCATAATCCGCGTATACATGTATACAGTTTAATCAACACCACGTTGTCATCAGTTTCCCGGCAGTGCATTCGGAAGAGCAAAACGCAAGTTTGTGCCTGCACGTATTACACAGCTGCGTATATCTATATTGAAATATCTTCTTGATTAGCAATACAGGCTCGGGCATTTTTTATCATCATTCGCGTTTACGCAGGCAAGAAAATCGTGTATTTGTTTAATTTACTTCGCTCGAATTGATTTCAACGACGGGATAAACGAGCGTGACGCACGTGGGCAATGCAATTAATTTTTTCAACGTCACCTTTAAATAATTTTACTTTATTTTATCGAAATAAAAGGCACTTTCTTTTATTGTAATGAAAGGAAATACTGAAACAAAACCTTATACGCTTTGCTGTGATAAGCATCATTTCTAGAACGAAAATCCTCTAGCGTAATTTAATATCATACGATACGTTACACATTTTTTCGCACAAACTTGAACATGAACATACTTTTTTTTTATTCAAAATACTACAATCATGTCGTTTAACTTGATAATATTCCACTTTATCTCACATGTTTGGGAATCCAGAATAATATTTTCTTTAACTCACCCCAATATCGATATCAGTAGCACTTTTGTCATTCATTTTGCAATTACCGATTTTGTAACTTTTAATATAAAAAAATGTACTTTTGTATAAAAATATTATTTCAAATGTATCGATGCACTGTTCGGTGTGACTATTATGAAATAGATTTACGAGCTTCAAACAATTAGCGAGCTCGTAACGATTTGAGACGCGCGATCTATCGCGACTGATTTAGCGATTCACCGATCACGAGGCTTCAAGCTCGGAGCAGAACATAACAGTGTGGTGGGTAATCTTCCGCATCGCCCTCTATTATTCTTTTGCCAATATATATTTTTTTCTTGGCGCTTCTCTCAAGAGACCGAACGGTTGGGTGCATTACTTATACGTTATAGCTCTGTGCTCGACTTTTTTCTTGTGATCACAGGCTGATAATACTTTATTGCTTATATTAAGTGCAGATTTTTAGTTATTATGCAAGTTGTAATGATAAGAATCTCTGCGTTTTCTGATTAGAATAATTACAAATTTGAGTGTAATTTAACGTCTTTATTACAAAAAAATAACTCTTATGACACTATTTTTAATAAAAAACTAAAGCCACGTTTAGTATCATAAATACAAGTCAATTATATGTACATATAATTAAACAAACTTTAATTATGTTCAAATTATAGTTTGCGATATTTACATTGAACCCAAACTCGGTACATTCGAATTTGTTTGCCGCGATTGACTTGCAGTCTTCTGTCAACAATATTCTGAACTTCTTCAAATCCACAGCCAGTAAACAGTTCCCTGAGCTCTTCTATAAAATATTTAAATGAATTAATAGAAAATAATGTACTGTTAAAGTCAAGACTTACCTTGAGTGAAAAAGTAGCACCTTGTGCCATCACCTCTTACGTAGAAATTTTCGGCAACACAACGGCCTTGCTTAAATCTTAATTGAGCTAGATCATATCTTCCATAATCTCTAAATAATACTAAACCTCCTGGTTTTAAATACCTATGAATTTGTTTCACAACATGTTGAAATCTGCAAATGGTAAAATTAAAATTTTTTTAATACGATAATTGTATTATCTCATTTGATAATTTTTGAAAATTATTCAATAAAGTATTTTGTGTATTCCAATATAATTTAAACAAACATACTTGTCTGGATTTATGGCAGAAAGTACAAATATCAAAATTACAATATCTAAGCTGTTTTCTTCAAATGGTGGATTCCAATCATCTTGAGTAGCGTCCAAAACAAATGCCTTACATCTAGAATCAATAATAAATTAATTTTTTTGTTTGACAACTTAGACCATCTATATTTGCAGTAAAAAATTACCTTGCCGCATCATATTCTCTACTTTGTTGCATTATTTCAATTGCAGCTGATGAAAAATCACAGCCATATGCAAAAAGATTTGGATTGTCATTATATAATAACAAAGGAAATATGGTATTTCCTACTCCACAACCTATTTCAAATATTTTTTTCTGCGGGTTGTCTAAGGTTTCAACTGTTTCATCTTTTTCATTTTGGGGCTCCGTTGATTCTCTCAGTGGTATATTTTTATTTTGCTGTACTTTTTCAGGAGCCAATTCAGGGAATTCTGTCAGCAACCAGTGCCTGTCCTTGAAAAATCTTTAATTGAAAAATGATAAGTTATTATTATTGGTTCATTATCCCTAATAATTATAAAATAATTGAAGCAAGTGTTTTATTACTTATTTTGATGAATTCCATAAAATTTGTCCCAATATTTGTCAGCCTCTGTTTCATACTGTAAAATTTCCTCACTCGATGCTGTAATTTTGGAGTTTTCTTTAACTTTTTGCAAGGCTAATTCCTCCTGTTCTTTGTCCCACACAACATTATCCCTGTAACACAGTGTTGATTGTTAATGATTGACACTTGACGTGTAATGTTGCATTGTAGTTGAGGTTATGAACTCGCGACATTGTCAACTGCTCATTTGGCATCGACGGTGAATGCAAGAAAAAAAAACATACCACGAATTGTGTCGAAAAACGTCATCTTCTTCGCCGAGAGTTCGATTTCCAAATTGCGGCCTCTTGCCATCTGCGGCACTGCCGGCACCTTCTGGGGTAAACGTAGCCATGTTCAGAACAATCAATGCAGACTCACACACGCTGATACGCGGAGTGCAGGACGGGTGCAGCCGGCCGCGCGGAAGCAACAAACGCACGTGTACGACCAGACGGTGCTGCCACCTGAGGTGGATTCGGCAAAGACTCACCAACAACATGCCGACAAAACTCGTATCTCTCGTCGTAATGCCGACGCGAGAATTTCCCAGTGAATTCGCGATAATCGAGCGAGAAAACAAGTCAAGTTTTTCGAATTAAATTCACGTCGATGCAATCATGGACAGCTTAAAGTTATGCTAGATAGGCTTACACGCCTCGAAAAATTTTAATATAATAATTAATAAAAACAATTTAATGTCAATGGTTATAACGATTGAGATTAAACAAAGTACGTAACATAAAATTAACAATTAAGAGGCTCGTAAATTGTTAGTGCTTAATTTAAGCTCTTTCACTGGGATGAGATGCAGCAAGTCTCGTCCAGGCGAGCTTTCAGCAGCGCCATCGCGTCTATGTCTGTCGGCGCAAGTTTATATGTCCTCGTATACCTTAACCAAGTTAAGCTTTATTCGAATAGCTTTGAACGAGTTAGTTGACGCGTCCTGTCTAGCTATAGTTTATTCACCGCTGTGAGACTCGACCACAGAAGGATCGATCGCCAATTAAGTTTGCATGCTCAGAGCGGAATACAAAACTCAAGTTACTATCAGCAATGATTTAATTCAGCCTCTGAATAATGTAGAAACAAAAATAGCAGTGTATAAGGGGTTCAAGTCTTCCAATTTAAGCAATCTTACCTATGGGCGAATGAGCATAGTTGAAGCAATGTTATTCATAACTTTGTCTCGCAAAAGTATATCTTAGTTTTGGATTGAATAAACTATAGGTGAAAAATTAACGAAAATTTTAGTATAACAAGCTGTTTCATATGTAAAAAAGACTTGAGAGATAAACTTAGAAGCAAAAGACTGACATGAAATTTTCACATTATGAAAAAGGGTACGTTGCGCACTACAAAATTATTCCTCTTTTTTGCAATTGTCTCTTATTATAATAATTCCAACGTGAGCTTAAAAAATACTAAAAGCACATAATATATATTCAAGAAAAATGAATAATTATGTGAATTTAGGCCGCTGCGCATCAGCACGAATACATATAATTACGACGAAAGAAAAGTAACATTAACGTGCAGAGCTCGTGATATGATATAAAAACGCGCGAAGCTGGAGGCGCAACGCTGAAAAGCAGACGTGAAAAAAGAAAGAAAAGGAAAGCATAAAGTCCTTCGATGAAAAAAGTCATAGCGTCGAGTCGCGCGCATCGCGAAATTACAATATAGCGTATGCATATAACTGTGCAGCATTGAAAATGTGTGTGCAGCTACCTCTCTCTCTCTCTCTCTCTCTCTCTCTCTCTCTATTTTTCGCGTGCTCGGCTCTCGGAGCGAAAGAAAATTAAAATAAAAGAACGACGTTAAGCGAACGGAGATTGCCAAGCGTGAAGAATGGCTTGGGGGAGGTTAAAAATTGAAAATTTTTCTCGCTAAACGCTTAGGACAGAGCTTGGCGGTTGAGAAACGTCCTCACGCGCTCGTGTTTGGCTGTAATCCAAAGCAGAAAAGTTGGATCAATGTCACTGGCATTCGATGAACCTCTTTAGAAACAGTAAAGAAAAACGCAGTATGTATATGTTCCAAATGATAGTAGAAATATTTTCGAGGGTACGAATTCGAATCGTATATGAAAAGGCCAAAAAGTTTCCGGTGATCAATATTAGCGCCGTCGTGCACGATGAAGTGATTAACATGGTTGTTTTAGGGGCACTTAATAGGGCCATCGTGTGTGTTTGTACGTGGCAGGGTGTAGGTATATATACGTCAGCTATCGGGCGTATCACGGGCAAACGTCGTCGTTGGCGCAGAGTTGGCTATTGACTCTGGAGTCGAGTCAGTCAGTTAGTAGGATACGCTACATGCATGGAGGAGCCGGAAGCTCGAGGGCTTTTGCGCATGGGCTCGCAAGGAAATGGCTGCTGCCGCTGGGATGGATTACGTCACCATCGCTGTGCACGGAGCACAGACTCGAGCTGCGTATTTATACCCAGCGACTAACACGTACACACACGCACACGTAGAAGCCGGCATACAACACCTCGAGTGTTTTAGTCCTGCGCGTTACTGCCGATTTGTAGCGAGAAGCAGTAGTGTAGCAGCAGCAGTTGAGCTGCTAGGCTGCTGTACATAATGTTTCCTGAGCAAGAAATCGATACACCGATGTTCGTTTCTTCCTTTTCTTGCCCGAGCTTCGGTCGTGCACCGGCGCTTGTGTACAGAGAGGTACATTACGATCGACGAGAGGCGCGGCATATCGAGCGCTGCGCCCCGCGACCATGGCCAGCTGAATTCGTAGCTAGCAGCATGGATTCCTCCAGTTCGCGCTCCTAATGCGACTAGTTTTACACTTTGTCGCCCGACACATTGATTTTATGCTCGCCTACGTACACTTTGGAGAAAGATCCCTTATTTATTCGTACAGCATCTGTATTATATGGTCGTGCGCAGAACCCCATCCTCGCCCTCCAACGCCGTGTTTGCATATCCCAGATGAGGTCACCGACCCGCGAACGCGAGTCGCATTAAAATCAATCACCAGTCGATATTATTAGATCGTCGTGCACGAGCGCAGGGCGAAAAGGCCGACACGGAGCAGCAGGTATGCAGTTTCCTGCAGCGGCATAAATAAATCATCCCGTGCGATGCACATCTTGTGCCGCGTGCGCAAACTCGCAAGGCCATTCGCATCGCATCTTTTGGCTTAAATCTACCCACTAGCGTCGATAGCCTAGGCATAGTCAAATTCAAGCAAGTGTGTGTGAGTGTGAAGCGTTTATTGAATTATAAGTGAAAAATGCGCAACGCCCGCCTGCATGATATATTTCATATATATCTATATCTACGTGCAGAGATCGACAAAAATGATATATGAGCTCGCATTACTTTCCAAGTCATATCGACGAGAGGATCGAGAGCTCCGGTGTATCTGACATTTTTATTCGAGCATTATTCTTGAAAATTAATTAGCACTTTGAGCGTTATCCGGTTTTAATGATACGGGGTTTAATTTACAACGGATGTAAATCAGTTTTCGTTAAAATTTAGGAATTTTTTCCCAAATGACTCAAAGCTCAATCATTTTTTATATGTGTTCAGACGACCATCTGATAAAATTTCCAAACAATTTTGAGGCCGGCAAGGTAGTGTACGTATATCAAGTCTCGTCGAGCATGCAGCAGGGAATGAGTTAGCAGAACACAAAAAGTACCGCGAAGAAACGAGGCCACGAGCCCTATTTTTCGAGCATATCGCAAAAACATATTCTTCTTCCGCTACATGCACTGCTGTATATACATAGATGAGCTTTTGAAAACATCATACAATTCCTAAAGTGTATAGAGTGCTACATAAAGTGGCGCAAGCTTTTTACGGAGCTGCAATGCCGAACGACTGTCGTTGTCAGCTCGTTCGATCGAGAGAAAGAAGGAGTATGAATCGCGACGATGATGACGACGACAATGTTTTGTGCAAGAGCTGTGAAACAGTAACTTCACTTCTTTTTCTTTTTTCCAACAGAATTTAATTTCTTTTTAATGTCGATAAAACCTCGTTTTACGCTTCGTGCGCATACACCCTGCTGTAAAAATTATAAATCACATTTTTCCGCAGTCTATGAATGTACCTCGGGATAATAAGAAAAGAAAGACATTTTGCCAAAGGCGTTCGAGGTTTTTGCGTTTCACTTGTTCCAAATGATTATACATTTTTTAGTTATCACTGCTCCTAAATAGCCGTAATCAGCAGCAAGAATTCTTGAATTTTCCAACCACTCAGATAAAAACATAAAGCCAAAATTGATAAAATTTTCTTGGAAACTTTAAAAAAAAACGCACGCGAGTACTTGATTCAACGTTCACTGTGAATTTAAAGAGGCGCTAACCGAATGTTTATGATGAAAAAAGGGAATGAAAAAATTGTCACGCATCGTCGAGCACGATAAAGTGTAAATCTCAATAAAAAATCAAAATACGAAAACCAAACAAGTCGAGATGGAAAGAAAAATGAAAAAAATCAAATCCAAGCACGGAAGTAAATTTCATATTCAAAAGTTAAGCGCAATGCGTTTCGCGCTTTTTATTTACATTTGAATAAGCGCGTACATAAACTCACGTACGTGTTGCAGCATTATTTTGTGCTTTTTTGATGAAAAATATTCCGAGCGAGCTTTCAGCATTCGAGGTAGAAAAATAAACGAAACCGGCTTAAAGTTAGAATGACAAGTACAGATGAGATTTGTCCAGGCCGTAGGATATTTTATAGATGGATAGTGACGAGGCGATACAATTTGTGTCATGTGAAAGACATACACGCACTTTCAGAAGTGCAAACGAAAGGAGATATCTATAAAAGAGCCGTATATATATGCGTGTGCTCTTGTATATATATACAGAGAGAGAGAAAGAAAGAGAGAGACAGACAGAGAGGAAAGGCTCATCGCGCAAGCGGCGCTCTTGGTTACGGGGTGGTTGCCCTCTACACTAGTCTGCGCTTTGTGGGAAATGCCCGCTCAATAACGTGCGCCGTCGGCTGGCTCGTTCTGTCTCGCTTTCACTCGCTCCGACTCGCATCCAAAGGTCCCCTTTTGGGTAACTGCTGGTATATAGCATACATACTGGGTTGCGCGCGAGCGAGCCAAGCGAACGAGCAAAACCAGCAAAGGGAGATACAAGCGCACACCAACACACATATTTCAAGTCTTCTCTCGTGCGTTGCTCTGCTGCTCTCTCGGCGCTCCTATACCGCTACATGTGTGCGTAGCTGTTATGGGTGTGTGCTTGCGATGCTCTTCGCGGATTATATTGCTGAAGAAACCCCTTTATTATGAGAGATGGAGAGAGATTCTGCTACGTATTACATATTAGGCGCGCAGCAGACATATTATGCTGTATCGCAGAGCGCGCCCTTCTCCGTTTATGCCTATATCCGTACACGAATATCAACGTGCTTGTTGCTTTGCTTCGTAGC